GGTCACCCGCCGCCGACGGCGCGGGACCGAGGGTTGTGCCACCACAGACATGTGCCACCACATGTCTCCCTCTCAGACCGGCGCCCGGCGCCCCCCGCCTGCCCGGCTCGGACAGCGAGACGCGGGTGGCCGCGGCGACACGGGCCGCGTCGCAGGGGAGACGGGGCGGCCGCGGGCTCCGCCTTACCCTCGGGCCCGCCGCCTCGCCCGGCCGGGCGAAGACCACAGCGGCGCGGCTTCCCTGCTCCCGCGTCCACAGAACGCCGCTCCGGCCGCGCGTCCGGCCAACCGACGGCCCGCGCCCGCCGCCAGGCGCCCGCCGCCCGCCTCCGCGCCTCCGCGCCTCGGCCCTGCCGGCCCCGCGCCCTGGCCACCTACCCAGGCCCGGACGTGCGCAGGCGGCTCCCAGCGCGGCGAGGCTGCGGCGGCCGAGCAGCCCGCGGCCCAGCACCATGACCAGAGCTCCGCTGGACTGCCGGACGGCGCGGGCCGCACCTCGCTGGCGTCGGCGCGTCGCAGCCAATCAGCGCCCGCTTCGCACTGCCCACAGCCAATCAGCGCCCGCCGGTCTCCGCCCCGCGCCGCCCTCAGCCAGTCAGCGCGCCCGCGTCCAACCCTTCCCTGCGCAGGGCCGGCCGCCGCTGGCGGAGAGGAGGGCGCGGGGCGGCTCCAGAGCCCGGCCGCGAGAGTCACCACCTATCTCCCGGCACCGGACGCCGGCTCCCGGGAGGCCAAGCGCCGCGCCTCCGGCTGAGTGCAAGGTGGAGCCAGCCGACGCGAGGGACGGCGTTCCGAGGTAGTCTGTCCTCTCCGAGTAGCCGTAGGCGTCAGGTGACCGACCCAGTCCACGTGACCCCGGGGGCGACTGGGAGAGTCATGGCGGCCCCCAAACAGCTGTGCCGCTTCTGGGAGTGGGGGAAGAACATAGTGTGCGTGGGGAGGAACTACGCGGACCACGTCCAGGAGATGCGCAGCGCCGTGCTGAGCGAGCCGGTGCTCTTCCTGAAGCCCTCCACCGCCTACGCCCCCGAGGGCTCGCCGGTCCTCATGCCCGCCTACACCCGCAACCTGCACCACGAGCTGGAGCTGGGCGTGGTGATGGGCAAGCGCTGCCGCGCCGTTCCGGAGGCTGCGGCCATGGACTACGTGGCCGGCTATGCCCTGTGCCTGGATATGACCGCCAGAGACGTGCAGGACGAATGCAAAAAGAAGGGCCTGCCCTGGACTCTGGCCAAAAGCTTCACGACCTCCTGCCCCGTCAGCGCGTTCGTGCCCAAAGAAAAGATCCCTGACCCTCACAACCTGAAGCTCTGGCTCAAGGTCAACGGCGAGCTCAGACAGGAGGGTGAGACATCCGCCATGATTTTTTCCATCCCCTACATCATCAGCTATGTTTCTAAGATAATGACCTTGGAAGAAGGAGATATTATCTTGACTGGGACGCCAAAGGGAGTTGGACCAGTTAAAGAAAACGATGAGATCCAGGCTGGCATCCATGGAGTGCTCAGTATGAGATTTAAAGTGGAAAGGCCAGAATATTGAGTCATTTTAAACAAGTTTCAGGAGACAAGGAGGCAAGACAGAAGCAACCAAAGGCTATTAAATGTCGCAATCTTTTGATAAGAAACCAATTCTTTAAAAAGTGATTTCATTAGATCGCAGTGTCTTAACTCACAGAAGATGGACTCTTCAAAAAAAAAACGTGATCTAGAAGGACTGGCCCAGAAAAAAACAACCAAAAATAAAGGGTTGATGATGCTTTAGAGGCGACCTTGTCATACCACATGCTCAAAAGACTTACCTTCCTTTTGTAAAACTGGATTGGATAAGACTTTTAGAGGGTTATTCTAGGATTATCATTAAAGATGTGAAAACTACAAAGGAAACTGAGTCATGTTCCAGATCAGTGTTTCCCAAATTTCCTTGGATTTGACAATCATCAGGAGACATTTGTAAAAAAATGTCCAAATTACTGGCCATCCCAGATCCACTGAATTAATGGGATTAATCTCCAGGGAAGCTGTTTAGAGAGCACTTCAAATGTTTTCTTAGCAGGGAAATGTGGAAAAACACTTCTCCACGTAATCAGCTAATTTAAAATCCTGTTTACTTTAAATAAAACTTAAAAGTATTTTAATTTGAAAGTGAATTTAATTTACAATTTAATTTAAAAGTGGACAATTGAGAAGACATCAGCTGTTAACTTATGGTGTCTACCCTGACTATTCGATTCTGAGTTTTGGGAGATAATTTTGAGATTACTGTTTTCCAAATGAACGTGTTGTCTTTTGTATGGCCTACAAATGTACTTTTCCCCCTCAGTAGTGATGAGGAGGAGTGCTTCCTTGTAGGGCTTCAGACCTTGGTCTTTGACCTTTGGCCTCTTGAGCACTGTGTTCTATTAACAGAGCTAACCAGAACTTTACCTCCCAACCAGAGGCAAGGACGCTTTGGGAAGTGAATAGCCTGAGGCTGCTGCTTTTGCTCTTGCCTGCACCCATCTCTGATTTTTAAAAAAAGCTAAGCAAAATATATATCATAGCTGTCAGAGTACCTAGTGGAATCCTTTAGGCTTAGGCAGGTACTCCTGCTGTTAGTGGACACAGAAATCACTTGCTGGCCCCTTGAGAAAAGCCCCAAAATCTAGTTTAGTAATAATGGTTAACATTTGTTGAGTACTGCTAGGCATTGTGTCCGGCACAGTTTATTCTGTGTATCCATGTGTGATGTAACCCTCAACAAAACTGTGATATTGGTGTCATTACTATCATCCCTGTTAAACATGAAGACTTAGATTTAGAGTTTAGGAAGCCTGGCTGAAGTCACCTGAGTGGCAGAGCCAAGATGTGACTCAGCCGTCTCAAGACCAGAACCCAAAGTCTTGACCACAATGCAGGCTGCATCTTGTAGTAGATACCTATATAAGACGATTCAAACACTTAGATATTATACAACCCCTGTGTATAAATTATAATTTAGTATGAGGAAGTGCTAATTTGATTTACTAAATGTCATGCTGTCTTAATTTTTTTTTTTTTTTTTTTGAGTTGGAGTTTTCACCCTGTAACCCAGGCTGGAGTGCAGTGGCAGGCTCATGGCCACTGCAGCCTCGATCTGCTGGGCTCAGGTGATCCTTCAGCCTCAGCCTTCCAAGTAGCTGCAACTACAGGCATGTGCCACCATGCCCAGCTAATTTTTTTTTAATTGTAGAGATGAGGTCTCGCCAAGTTGCCCAGGCTGGCACAAACCCGTGAGCTCAGGCAATCCTCTCACCTCGGCCTCCCATAAAGCGGGATTATAGGCATGAGCCACCACGCCCTGCCACTTAATACTTTTAATATTTTCTTTTTTCATTGCTTAGCAATGCATGTTATTACAGAAGAATCAGAAATAAAGATAAGCAATAAGAACAACAAAACTTCCTCTACCCAGAGACAGCCGAAGTTAAGCATTTGGTAGATGTTCTTCCAAATTCATAGGTGTAATTTTTAAAGTAGGGTTGACCAGATGTGCTAGCACATACCTGTAATCCCAGCACTTTGGGGGGCCAAGGTGGAGGCTCTCGAGCCCAGGAATTCGAGAACATCCTGGGCAATATAGTGAGACCTCGTTGTTATAGCTGGAGCGCGAGAAAGGAGTTGCCACACACTTGAGAGTTGAATTTTGAGTCCTTTAATAGCTGGTGGTCAAGAGGGGGCTCACGCCTAAAGAACTCTTGACCCTGAGCAAAGCAAGCAGGAGTCTTTTACAGGCAGAAACCACAGTTTTGCAATTACAGTTTACATTTCAGGGAGGGGTCAGGTTTGGGGATGGACGTCATCTCTACAGAAAATCAAAAAATTAGCCGGGCATGGTGGCACACACCTTTTGTCCCAGGTACTCTGGAGGCTGAAGTGGAAGGATCGCCTGAGTCCAGGAGGTCGTGGCTGTGGTGAGCTGGGATTGCGCCACTGTATTCCAGCCTGGGTGATGACAGAGTAAGACCTTGTCTCAAAAAAAAAAGCTAGAATTTGCTCACACCATAACATTTTCTAACATTTTCCCACAATACATTGTGACCATCTTTTTCCTTGTCAGCTAACATATTTATGCAGTGTGATTTCATTGGCTACATATAATTCTGAAGTCAGTCCTCTATGTGTGGACATTGAGATTGTCTCTGTTTGCCAGTAGAATCAGCATATTTGCCATTATTTCTTTTGGCTACGTGGAATAGTTGGTTCAAAGGGCATGCTTATATTGATAGTGCATTATTAGTCTAGCTAGTAGGTAGAAAGTTCAGCTAAATACATCTATCAAGGTGACAGATTGTTAAAGCAAGCTAAAGGTATAAGGTAGGGGCAGTATTCACATGTAACCCTGTTAGGTGGCACAAGCCAGCACCCAGAGTACAGTGCCCATGGAGTCCATGTTCACCATAGTGTTGGGATACGCTTCATCAAATGTGACATCGGTATTGCAGGTACAGGCACACAAAGTCCTTGGATGCAAGAATCAAAAACAGATGCCAAGTTGATGTTGCTAAAATCACAGTAATTTTAGCACTCAGAAGACACATTTTCCCTAATTTCTTATTTTGGATAAATTTAAACCTACAAAAGCATGAAAGACTAATACAATAAACTCCATATACCCCTCAACAGAATTAACAATTGTCCATGTTAGCTATGGTTGTCCTCTGTACATCACTCCCCCTCCCTCTCCCACTCTGTCCCCTTCCCCCGCTCTGTGCGCCTATCCCTCGCTCCCTCTGTCTCTCTCTATCCATGTCTCTCCCTTCCTCCCTCTCTCTCTCTACACACACACACGTCCTTATTCTGCAAACCCGTTGGGACAGAAATTGCTGAAACACTCTGCCCTTCCAGTGGCTTCACATGTGTTCTGTGGTGTTTTTAAAACATGTGTTCATTGGGCTTTTATTTTTAAATGACCATTATACATCCACTTATATTATGAACATCTTTCCAGGTCAGTGACTGTAGATGTACATACCATTTTTAATGGCTGTAACTGAGATCATGTACTCCAGAAGCACAGCCTGAGATGAGGATTTTTGTTCAAGTGATTTGTTGAAGGAGTGCTCTTCAGAGAAGCGTACTGAAGGAAGCAGAAAGGCCAGGGAGCACACTTCACAGAAGAACGTGGCCTCAGAGCTAGAGACCAGCTTCTGTCTCCCAGTGATCCTGGGAAGCTCAAGCACAGTCTATCAGCACCAATATCTGCTCCCCCACCCTTCCCACTCCTCCTCGGGTAATTCTCAGACCGTCATAGAAGCTGACAGACCTCAGCAAGTAAAGGGGATCTGGGTGGGACTCCTGTAAGTTTCCAAGGTTTCGCGTGCTTTGCTATTAGAAGCAATGATGCAAGGAACACCGTCCACATGCTGCATGCACATCATTTGGCACTCGTTCCTCAGTGAAAGTTTTAGAAATGAAACAATAAAATGATTTGCACTTTATTTTTTAAAATATTTTTTATTATGGTTTTGTGGGGTACAGTTAAGGGTTAGGTATACAATTGCGTTTCATTCAGGCACCCTGTTGATAAGAGGTGTTTCCCCATGCCCAGACAGATATTTGCTACTGTTAATCCCATCTCCCTCCCCCACATAGTTTCCCAGTACCGTCAGTCATTTTCTTATACTATTACATTGAATGTTCAAGGTCCATTATATGAGTGAGAACATGTGATACTCGGATCTTTGTTTCTGTGAGAGGTCACTCAGTATTATAGACTCTAGTTCCATCCAGGTTGCTGTGAAATTCATGATTTTGTTCTTTTTTATGGCTGCGTAGTATTCCATCGTGTATATGTACCACATTTTTTTAATCCGGTCCTCTTTTGAAGGACAGCGTGGTTGCTTCCAGGTTCTTGCTACTGTGAACAATGCTGCGATAAACATACGTGTGCAGGTATTTTTTTTATAGAGTGATTTGAGTTCTTCAGGGTATATTCCCAGTAGGGGGATTGCAGGGTCATATGGAAGGTCAATTTTTAGAGCTTTTAGGAATCACCACACTGCTTTCCACAGAGGTTGCACTAGTTTACACTCCCACCAACAGTGTAGAAGTGTTCCCTTTTCACCACACCCTCTCCAGCAGCTGTTATTTTTTGAGTTGTTGATAATTGCCATTCTGACTGGAGTTAGGTGGTATCTCAGTGTGGTTTTGATTCGCATCTCCCTGATGATTAGTGAGGTTGAGAATTTCTTCATGTGTTTGTTGGCTGCTCGGATGTCTTCCTTTGAGAAGTGTCTGTTCATATCTTTTGCCCATTTTATAATGGGGTTGTTTGTTTTTTTCTTTTCAGCACGTTTGAGCTCCTTGTAGATCCAGGATGTTAAGCCTTTGTCAGACCTGGTGTTGGCAAATACTTTTTCCCAGTCTGTAGGCTGTCTCCCTGCTCTCTTGATGGTTTCTTTGGCTTTGCAGAAGCTTGTCAGTTTAATAAGGTCCCATTTGTCTATCTTCTCTCTTAAGTCCTGTGGGTTTCGGGTTTTGTACAGGAATTGGATGCCAGTTCCGATTTCCATGAGAGTATTTCCTTCCTTTTCTAAGATTCTTATGGTTTGAGGTTTTACATTTAGGTCTCTGATCCATTTGGAGTTAACCTTTGTGCATGGGGATAGATAGGGGTCCTGTTTCAATCTTCTGCATGTGATTTGCACTTTAAAATTGTGATACTATTTGCTAAATTGCTCAGGGAAAAGGATATATAAATTTGTATTTGACAAGCGTGTTTAAGAATGCATTTTTTTGCACATCCTAATCAATGCTGGATACCATGGCTATGCTCATTTTAATTTTCATTTCTTTAATAGAAACTTGAGCCGGGCTCGGTGGCTCAGCCTGTAATCCTGCGCTTTGGGAGGCCGAGATGAGTGGATTGCCTGAGCCCGTGGGTTCGAGACCCGCCTGGGAAACTTGGCAAGACCTCATCTCTACAATAAATCAAAAAATCAGCCGGGCGTGGTGGCACGTGCCTGTAGTGCCAGCTACTTGGAAGGCTGAGGCGGAAGGATTGCTGGAGCCCAGCAGGTTGAGGCTCCGGTGGCCAGGAACGGCCACTGCACTCCAGTCTGGGCGACAGAGTGAGACTCCAACTCAAAAAAATACATAAATATATAGAAACTTGATATCCTTTCATGTGCTTATACTCAGTGTTTTGTTTTGTTTTTTTTAAACAAGACCGTTGGGCACATCTTTGGTGTAAATGTTGGTGTAGTATCTTTGTCTTCAGGTCAGTTTTATGTTACCTATTTGCAAACAATACACTTAATTCAAATATGCTAAAGCCTTCATATATTTTTAAGGAAAAGAGGGAAGTAATTATAAGTGTATGATACAGTATAAAAAAATTCAAATTATACGAGCAGAATAGCCAGGCATGGTGTGTGTAATCCCAGCTACTTGGGAGGCTGAGGCAGGAGGATCACTTGAGCCCAGGAGTTTGTGGCCAGCCTGGGCAACATAGCAAGATCCAATCTCAAAAAAAAAAAAAAAAATGTATACAACAAAAATACTACCAAACACGAGGGCCAATAAAATTGCTGAACCTCAACATTTTGCTAATAACTGATATTTATTGATCATATACTAAGTGCATGTGTCTAAGCAGTTCACATATCTTAACTTTAGTTTTCACAATCGCCAAGAGAAGTTGGTATTGTTATCCCTATTTACAAAAGAGGAACTCAAATGAGGCAGCTCAGAGTTGGAGGCCTGCCTGCAAGCAGCAGATGGGGTCTGAGTCTGCAGCTATAGAGCCTACCCCAGTTTTACCTCCAGTTTTACCACTTCTAGCTCCTCCAGTTTTACCACTTCTAGCTGGGCCTTCATGTCCCATCTGTTAAATGGGCAAAATAAGATACTTGTCTAATCAGATAACATCAGTAAAATATTTATTACAATGTCACAAAAAAAGCACCCCAGAATGTTAGCTATTAATATTATTAGAGTAATTTAATGTCTAGAAATCTATCCCTAGGAAATAATTAAAAATATGAACATGATTTTGGACAAAGGGGTCAAGGACATTAACTGAGGAAAAGACACCCTCTTCAACAAATGGTGCTGAGAACACTGGGTATCCAGATGCAGAAAAATAAAATTGAACCCCTATCTCTCACCATATACAAAAAGCAACTCAACATAGATTAAAGACTTAAATGAAAGACTCAAAACCATTAAACAACTAGAAGATCATATAGGGAAAATTCATCCAGACATTGGGCAGAGATTTTATAGATAAGACCTCAAAAGCACAGGCAGCATAAGCAAAGATAGACTAATGGGATTGTGTCAAACTAAAATGCTTCTGCATAGCAAAAGAATCAATCAACAGGGTGAAAAGAACCCACAGAATGGGAGATAATATTTGCAAACTATACCTCTGACAGGAAATTAATATCCAGAATATACATGGAACACAAATAACTACAAAAAAAACAAAATAATACAATTAACAAAAAGGCAAATGACCTGAATAGACATTTCTCAAAAGAAGACATACAAATGGCCAACAAATATATGAAAAAATGTTCAACATCACTAATCATTAGGGAAAAGCAAATCAAAATCACAATGAGATGTTGTCTCACCATTAGAATGCCTATGATACATTTTTTTTTTTTTTTGAGTCAGGGTCTCACTCTGTTGCCCAGCCTGGAGTGCAACGGCACACTCACAGTCACTGCAGTCTCAACCTGCTGAGCTCAGGTGATCCTTCCACCTCAGTCTTCCAAGTAGTTGGATCCACAAGTGTGCACCACCACACCTGGCTAATTTTTCTTGATTTATTGTAGAGACAAGGTCTCACTAAGTTGTCCAGGCTGGTCGCAAGTCCCTGAGCTCAGGCAATCCTCTTGCCTTGACCTCCCAAAGTGCTGGGATTACAGTCTTGAGCCACTGCACCCCGCCTAGAATACCTATAAGAGACAAAAACATGACAAATGACGGTAAGGATTGGAGAAAAGGGAACTCTTACAATAAAAGCACACAAAAAAAATACCAAAAAAATACATTATCTACCAGTTTTTTAAAATGTGGGATGGGAGATTATGAGTTTGCCCTTTTTTCTCTCTTCTTTTTTTCCTTTTTAAAAGAAGGGGTCTTGCTCTGTTGCCCAGGCTGGAGTGTAATGGCACAATCATGACTAACTGCAGCCTGGAACCACAGAATTCCTCAAGATGAGTAATAGATGTTCAATTAAATATGTTTCTGCATTGTTCAGAGCATTGAACCATTAAACTTCCCAAAGCAGAATTAGAAAAGGAAAATCTTATTGGAATGAGCCACTAACAGAAAATTAGGAAAAATCATATCGTCACCAGTTGTATAAAGCAGTATCAAACCTGTAGGTCAAAAACGCTAATGCCAGGGGAAAAGCTCCTGGAGAATAGTAGGGAAATGGTAACCTGCTTGGGGGTATATTGTGTTAGTGTGGGCGTGTATGGTGGGCTTACCAGGCAGCAATAACTTGACCATACCCTGAGAATGGCCCTATGTTCCTTGGTGAATATGTTCGGTGTTCTGAAGTATGGACTTTGGGAATGGCCAGCCTGGATGTTTATGGCACGCCTGTGAAGAACATCTGGACCCTGGCCTGTTCCTTGGGATGCTGGATGTGCAGAGCCTGAGGCCCTTTGTTTTAAGCTAGGAAGAGGTCATGAAGTAAAGGTTACTATGTGAAAGTTACTATATAACCAGCATGCTTGCCACAAATGAGTACTGTTTTTTTTTTTTTTTCCTGTACAGCCAGGCTGCCCTGGACACTTTGTAAGTCTCCAACAAATCCTATGTCTTGTTTACCATCTCTGGATCTTTTTTCTAGCCTCTTGGACACTGTGCCATCCCTGCTCTACCCACTGGGAGTCCGACGCAACAAAGGGGTTGCTACTTTCTTTTACTTATTGGAATGCCTGCACTTTGGCTAATGTACATCTAAATTTCAGATACATGACCAATTTCATTTCATAAATGTGTAAGATAAGCTTTGTGAAACACCTTTGATTCAATGTGGCTTGACACCTGGCCCTGAAGACTCCTATGTCATCAGAAGAAATAAGCAATCATGCTGTCCTTCCAGTGAGAGGGGCATGGGGCTTTCAGAGTTAAATGCTAGTGGGCTGAGAGATAAGGTCACCTTAGCAATTATGAGGTTATTCAGAGCCCTCTGCTGGCCAAATTGAGGCTTCCAGACTGTAGTTGGGGCACCATGGGAGCTGCCTCTGCACCTGTGTTATGCTGTTGAAACCAGTGGTAAAACAGCCAAAGCGACTGAGGGCCATGGGCTGTAGGAGCCCAGCGCTGGGGCTTGGGGACCACTACACCCCAGGGACAACACACCTCTGGGCTGGCGGCTCCTGAGTTCCTGGACATAGGCCCAGTGGAGGGCCCATACCTACTCTTGTTTAACCAACAGTAGGTACGAATCAGGCACCAGCCATACCCTTACTTCCCTCTCCTCCCCAGCTGGAACCCTCCAGCACAGTTCATCCTTCCTTTCTTGTGCACCCTCCTAATTCACCTTGCTTGACACATACGCTTCTCCCCAAGGGAGAGCAGAGGAAAGCTCTTCACTGGTCCATAGCACACAGCTAGGCAAGGCCTTCAGTGTCTCCTCTATCACCACAGTTTGGACCTAGTGGGGATCAGCTTGTATCCCTCCTCTGTGTTGTGGGAAAAGCCAGGGAAAACATGACTGACAAGATAAGTGTACTGATTACTGACAACGCCAGCTCTATAAGAAGGTTTCATCTACTCACTTTCCCCCTTTTTTTCAATCCTCTGGTGGATGACATAGAGCTTTCTGAAGTACCAGACCCAACATGCATTGGCCAAACCTCCCAGACGGGGCCAACGCTGACCTCAGTGGCAGGTCTTCACAGACAGGAGCCTGTGCCCTGCAGTGAGTAACTCAGACTTGTGTGGAGCTGAGCAGTGTACTCTGGGGCTGCTGCAAAGGAAACTGACATAACATGGCGGCTGTCGTCCTAATATCCCCAAGTAGGTCCCTCCTTTGAAGTTCTTGAGACTTGGGCCTACTCATGTAACTTTTGAAGTTGGTCTCCTCCCGGTTGATTCAGGCTCATAAATGTCAACCCTGAGTCAGCAAGCCTCCTCAAGCACTGGGTAGCTCCAGCATGTCATCACAGAAGGCAAGGGATTAGAAAAGTTCTATGGTGCACAAGGCACTTGCACCATATTGCCCACGACGCCTTCTGCTCTGCCGGGTGCCAAGAGAGCCCCTCACATCCTGTCTGATAACAAGCCATTACCAGCTCTTTTCCAAGGAACCAAGACATAGGAGGAAATAACTTAAGAAACGAAATCATTCAAATCTGTGAGAGAGAAACTTCTTTATTAATTCATGTAAACATTTTCCAGCTTGGAAGGAGACAAAGCAAAGCCGGTAGAAAGGCCTCCTAAGAAGGGAACTTAGATGAGAGTGATGCTTTCAGACTTGCCTCCAAACCAGTTCCAGGAGGAAACATAACAATTTATAGAAACATTTTCACCACATTCAAATAAAATACAATTTATCCATAATTTTAAAGATAAGATTCCATTTTAAAGGAAATTAAAGCTTCTAAACGTTTCCAGAATTTAAAATGACATATAGTTTTAAACATGACTTTGTCCAGACAAGTGCCTACTTGCCTCAATAGGTTCTGAAAGTTTGCATGAGAGTACACTAATTTTCAATCCAGTCTTTGCTCTGTGTGATAAAACAAACTGCAGGGAGAAAAAGAATAAGAGACAGAAGGTTAGTTTAACTCCCTTTGTACACAAAGTTGAAAATTAATGACCACAAATAGAGAATTGCAATGAAAGTTTTGTTTACAGACGTTAATATAAACTTCAATTAAAGTTGTAAGATGATGGAGAGAGTTCTAGTCTCAGGCAGACCACAGTAGATAAATTATAGGTCTGGCTTCTGACAGTGATAGTGCAAAAATCACCTCATTTTTTATGATATTTTTCTCAGGAAAGTTGGGATTAAAAATCCAGCATGTACAAAGAAGGGCATAACATGTTTTCCAACTATCAACTGTGATAGATTTTAACCTGTAGCAGTGACACAATTTGTTAGACTACAGGGATAGAATGATGCAACTTACTAATAATAGTCTTATTTTTTACAATTTATAAGGCACTTTTACCAACATTTTATTTAATATAGGGCAGAAGAACATATCAACCACTTTAATTTCAAAGACTGAGAGAAAAATGTATTAATGTCAGGAAAACCTGGCAATAAAGATAACTGGGAGCCGGGCTCAGTGGCTCAGTCTGTAATCCTGCACTTTGGGCGGCTGAGGTGAGTGAATTGCCTGAGCCCATGGGTTCGAGACCCGCCTGGGCAGCGAGACCTCATCTCTACAAGAAATCAAAAAATCAGCCGGACATGGTAGCGCATGCCTGTAGTTCCGGCTACTCGGAAGGCTGAGGCGGAAGGATCGCCGGAGCCCAGCAGGTCGAGGCTGCGGTGGCCAGGAGCAGCCACTGCACTCCAGTCTGGGTGACAGGGTAAGACTCCAACTCAAAAAAAAAAAAAAAAGGTAACTGGGTATCCTTTCAACGAATTGCTCCAGCGATTTGGTATTGACTAGGGCACCTTTAGCATTGTTTGGTTCTACAGGAGTCTGCACCTTCCATTGTACTGACTAAGCTACTTTATAACTGTAGGTTGTAGAAAGCTGATAGTAATGCAAATAATCCTGCTCATGGAAATGCACATGATTTTTTTCTGAGTGAAGATGCATTGATTCTGCCCTGTGGAAGAGACCGTTGTGCATCTACAAGTGAGACCATTTCAGCATTTCTCATTACCTGCCTCTGTGTCTATTCTTCTTAATCTCCTTTGAATACCCCCTCCTTTTTAAAAAACACCTTACTAGTTCCTTCAATAATTAATGAGTTAAAGTAAGTTTTCAACATGTGTTCATTTTATTTTTGTATGAGAGTCATGGTTTTACCCTTTTTGGAAAGGATTCTTTAACAATAATATCACACTTACATTATCATGTGATTTAAAACATTCAAATGAATACCTATTTTTTGAATCATTCCAACAGAACCATTTTAAGTAGCTGTTACTTTTCAATTAAATAAATATATAAAATGCTCACTCTACATAGGAATATTTTGTTTATATATCAGTCAAGCAATGTAAGTCCTTATTTTTAAAATTACATATTCTATTTTAACTGACTATAACAAAGCTGTATTTAGAGTCTTATGTTTTTCTATTTTTAAAAAATTCAATAGCTTTAGGAGATACAAATAGTTTTTGGTTACATGGATATAGTGGCAAAGAAGTCTGGCACTTATTTGTATTTATGTATTTATTAATTTATTTAGAATCAGAGTCTCACTCTGTCTCCCAGGCTGGAGTGCAGTAGCACAATCACCACTACTGCAGCCTCTACTAGCTGGGTTTAGGCAATCCTTCTGCCTCAGCCTTCCAGTTAGCTGGGATTACAGGCACACACCACCATACTCTGCTAATTTTTTGATTTATTGTAGAGAAGAGGTCTCACCATGTTCCTGAGGTTGGTCTCAAACCTCTGGACTCAGGCAATTCTTTTGCCTCAGCCTCCCAAAGTACTCTGATTACAGGTGTGAGCACTGCACCCGGCCTTAATTTCTCAGCTTGGTTGCTGTTGGTGTGTAGCAATGTTATTGATTTGTGTGTGTTGATTTTGTATACTGAGACTTTACTGAATTCATGTATCAAGGCCAGGGGTCTTTTGGTGGAGTCGTTAGAATTCTCTGGGCTTAAAGTGTACTTATCACCCTCACCTGTGCACATTGTACCTGATAAGTGATTTTTCATCCCTCCACCCCTTCCCCTTCTGAGTCTCCACTGACCATTAAATCATTCTATAAGCCTTTGCAGATCTTTAATTTAGTTTCTACTTATAAGTGAGAACGTGCAGTGTTTTTTTGTTTGTTTGTTTGGGTTTTTTTTGAGTTGGAATCTCACTCTGTCACCCAGACTGGAGTGCAGTGGCCGCTCCCGCCCACCGCAGCCTCGCCTGCTGGGCTCCGGTGATCCTTCCGCCTCAGCCTTCCAAGTAGCCGGAATTACAGGCATGCACTACCATGCCCAGCTGATTTTTTGATTTATTGTAGAGATGAGGTCTCGTTGCCCAGGCAGGTCTCGAACCCGCGGACTCAGGCAATTCACTCACCTCAGCCTCCCAAAGGCGTGGGATTACAGGCTGAGTCACCGAGCCCAGCAGTGTTTGGTTTTCTGTTCCTACATTAGTTCACTTAGGATGATGTTCTCCAATTCCATCCAAGTTGCTACAAAAGACATTATTTTTGTGGCATATATATGAATACATAATATATAATTTTCATTATCCACTGATCAGTTAATAGGCATTTAGGTTGATTCCCCATCTTTGCAATTGTGAATTGTGCTGTGATAAATATACAAGTGTGGGTGTATTTTTTGTATAAGAACCTCTGTTCCTTTGGGTAGATACCTAGTAGTGGAATTGGTGGATCAATTGGCAGATCCACTTTTAGTTCTTTGAGAAATCTCCATACTGATTTCCATAGAGGTTGTACTAGTTTGTACTCCCAACAACAATGTATAAATGTTCCCTTTTCACTGCAACCATGTGAACAGTTATTGCTTATTTATTTAGTTAGGGGACTCACTCTGTCACCTAGGCTGGAGGGCAGTGGCACAATCACAGCTTACCACAGCCTCAACCTCCTGGGCTCAGGCAATTTTTCTGCCTCAGCCTCCCAAGTAGCTGGGACTACAGGTGTGTGCCACCATGCCCAGATAATTTTTTGCTATGCTCTCTATGCTGATCTTGAACTCCCATGCTCAAGCAGTCCTCCTGTCTCAGTCTCCCAAAGTGCTGTGATTACACATGTGAGCCACACCTGGCCTGTTTTTTTATTTTTTAAAAACAAAACCATTCTGACTAGTATAAGGTGGTAGGTATCTCATTGTGGTTTTAATTTGCATTTCCCTGAATATTAGTAACAATAAGCATTTTTTTCTTGTGTTTATTGGCCTTTATATAATCTTCTGAGAGATGTCTTTTCATGTCATTTGCCCACTTTTTAATGGGTTTATTTGCTTTTTCTCTTGCTGATTTCTTTGTAGATTCTCTGATATTGGTCATTTGTCAGATAGTTTGCAACTATCATCTCCCATTCTGTAGGTTGCCTGTTTACCCTGTTATTTCTTTTACTGTGCAGAAGCTTTTCAGTTTAATTAAGTCCCACTTATTTATTTTTGCTTTTGTTATATTTGTTTTTGTGGTTTTAGCTATAAATTCTTTGCCTAAGCCAATGTCTAGAAGAGTTTTTCCTAGGTTTTCATCTAGGATTTTTATGGTTCCAGGTCTGACATTTAAGTCTTTAATCCAATTTGAGCTAATTTTTGCACATGAGAAAACATAGGGATCGTTTCTTTTTTCTGCATGCAGCTATTCAATTTTCCCAGCACCATTTGTTGAATAGAATCTCCTTTCACCAGTTATGTTTTTGTCTGCTTTGTTGAAGATCATTTGATTGTAGGTATTTGGGTTTATTTCTGGATTCTCTATTCTCTTCTCTTGGTCCATGTGTCTGCTCTTGTACCAGTACCATGCAGTTTTGTTTACTATAGCTTTGTAGTATTTGAAGTTCAGGTAATGTGATCCCTCCAGCTTTATTTTTGCTCAGGATTTGCTTCTGGCTATTCTGGATCTTTTATGGTTCCATATGAATTTTAGGATTTTTTTTTTTTCTAATTCTGTGAAAAATGATGTGGGTAGCTTGATAGGGATTGCATTGGATCTGTAGATTACTTTGGGTAATATGGTCATTTTCACAATGTTGATTCTTCCAATCCATAAGTATGGGATGTTTCTACTTGTTTATATTCTCTGCAATTTCTTTAATCAGTTTTTTAGTTCTCCTTGGAGAGCTCTTTCACCTCCTTGGTTAAATAAATTCCTAGGTATTTTAGCTTTTTGGTTGTTATTGTAAATGGAATTGAGTTCTTGATTTGATCCTCAGCTTGGTTGCTATTGGTGTATAGCAGTGCTACTGATTTGTGTGTGTTGATTTTGTATCCCGAGATTTTACTGAATTCATTTATCAAGTCCAGGAGTCTTTTGGAGGAGTCTTTAGAGTTCTCTAGGTATATTATCATATCACTGGCATGCACAGATACATTCTCTCTCGCTCTCTCTCTCTCGCCTGATTGCTCTGGCTAGGACTTTCTGGTTCTTCCCCCCCCCCCCCACATTTTGTGATAGTGTAACCATTTTGGATCTTTAAAATCTGCTTTAAATCCATATATTACATATATTCTTTGGAAAAGTACAAGATCCCTTTACTTGAGAGTCATTTGTTGCTATTTGAATCAAGTTCCCATTAATTTAAATTGATCAGACTCATTAACAACTGGGGCCTCTTGTCTGGAGGAAAAGCATAAGGTTGGTCATGGGCCTGAGTGTGCCCTGATTTGGAAAAAGACAGTATTTAGGGAATTCATGTTAATGGTAGAAGAGATGTAGCATCCAACACAACTTCTCCTTTGGCCTAGTAATGAAGAGCCCTCAAACCGAGGTACTAGAAATATTGGTGATCCCACTGGATACTCCATGTCTACAACCTATTCAGTGTGCTTGAGGCCATGAAAAATGGGCAGATCTACTTACGAGGATGAGATGGAATAGATGCAGCATTCACAAAGACTCTGTAGGACAGGGGTCCCAACCCCTGGGCCCATGAACCGGTACCGGTCTGTGGCCTGTTAGGAACCATGCCACATAGCAGGAGATGAGTGGCAGGTGAGTGGGTGAACCTTCATCTGTATTAAAGCCTTTCCCGATCACTCACATTACAGCCTGAGCTTTGCCTTCTGTCAGATTAGCGGTGCCATTAGATTCTCAAAGAAGGGTGAACCCTGTGAGAATCTAATGCCTGATGATCTGAGGTGGAGCTAAGATGGTGATGCTGGCACTGGGGAGCGGCTGCAAATACAGATTCATATTAGCAGTGAGGTTTGACTGCACAGAGACCATAATAAATCAATTACTTACAGCCTCATATCAAAACCCTATCAGTGAGTGGCAAGTGAGTGGATGTACTTCAATTGTACATCTGCATCTGGTGGTAGGCTTTAAGTCAGAATCCAACACTTATTTTAGTCCATGTTTGGCCCACCCATTATTTTATTTATCACTTCTGTCCGAGCCTTTTTTTAAAGGTGAACTGTATAATTATTTCATTATATATTCCAATGTAATAATAATAGAAATAAAGTACACAATAAATGATACAGACGTGTATCATCCCCAAACCATCCCCTCACCCCCTTGCTGGTTCGTGGAAAAATTATCTTCCACAAAACCGGTCCCTGATGCCAAGAAGGTTGGGAACCACTGCTACAGGGTACCCGTGAGATCAAAACTATTTTCACGATACTAAAATGTTTGCCTTTTTTCCTCTTTCTCTCATCAGCACAGGTTGTCATTTTCTAGATGTAATTACATCATTGGTCAGACACTAATGGAATATATGCTTGTATGTATGTTTTTAAATTTTCTCAGCAGTAAGTTTCAGCACAGCAAATATCAGCAGATATAACTCACATAAACAGGAGCACATTCACTTGTAGGCATATAAAAGAGAAAACATTTGAGAACCATTAAAGTTAAAAAATAAAGCAGGCTGCAGTCCTATCTCACCTGAAACCTGGGAGAAGCAACTGCATTTTTTTTTTACTTGGAGTCTCACTCTGTCACCCAGGCTGGAGTGCAGTGGCACACTCATGGCCACCCCAGCGACAACCTACTGGTCTCTGGCAATCCTTCCACCTCAGCATTCCAAGTAGCCAGAACTACAGGCGTGTGCTACCACGCCCGGCTAGCAACTGCATTTTGTGGTCCCCTTTTCCTCATTTGCAACAAAGGGAGTCTGTCTTGCTCTCCTTCTCTCCTTTTTACACCTTGAACACTAAGATTCTATGATCTACAGACACTGAAGCATTGTTAGTGCCTCAGGTGTTGGCTCTGACCCTTCAGAGTTGGAGGATCTTAGAATTGTTCTGGCTTAGAGAAGTTAACTGACCTCAGGGTCTCACAGGAGGAGTGGGGAGTGGTGGAATTAAGAAGCAGACCAATTCTATCTCACCTCAGAATCTAAGTCTTTAACTATACTCTTATACTACTTCATTATGTGAACAGCAATGCCACATGGGCAGGTTGGTGCAGAGATAACCCAGCTTTTTTTTTTTTTCTTAAGGGAGATCAGAGACTTACTATGTTGCCCAGGCTGGCCTTGGGCTCAGGCTATTCCTCCTACCTCAGCCTCCCAAGTAGTTGGGGTATGTGTACCACCAAGCCTAGAACCTCCAACTTTAAAACCATTTGCCTTGCTTTGGAGTTAACATTATGGATATTTCTTTGTTGGTCTATTTCTGGTTATTGTCATTATTTTTAGAGTAGCTAAATACTTCTGCATATCTGGGAATTGGGCATTATTAAAAATAATAAATTTCTTAATTTATTAGAACATATTCCAGGTTTTTCTTATGGTTTGAATATATAAAATAACACAGTACTATAAAATAACTAACTTTTAAATAAATTTTGCTTCTTTCCAAAAGAAATTGCCACTTTAATGCTGTTTTCTGTTCATCCGTCATTGCGAGAAACTCATTTGCCTGGTTAAGAAGAAAAAAAAGTCAGACAAGTATTCCTGAAGAACACACAGACAACTCATTTTGAAAACAATGTAAAACTTGAACTCTCTCACCAGAAATGGGATTTTATTCACAGTAATTACAGTTTGATTATTTTGATAGAGAAGACAAGGCAAGAAAGTCCATAAATAGAATCTCCAAAGTCAATTAGGTAGCTCAGTAAGGAAAGCTCCCCTCAATAAATTGGAAACGAATTTGGAACTTTAAATGGTAAATTTAATGAGCTCATTTTAAAAATAAAAAACAAGTGCCTATCATCAAATGCATATGCTAACCTCTAAGTATCTGTCCTATAGCTGCAAATTAGAGAGAAAACTTGTGGCTGACTTTATATATCTGGGTAAGTGAAATATTGCCACATCCTCCTAAAAGAACCACCTCAATGACTAATCAATGTCTCCAAAGTGTTGTTTTGCCCCCTTGCTACTTGACTATATAAAGTGTCATGTTTATTTCTCCATTTTGGCTAAAAGCCTCAGTCATTATTCATAACTGTAAATATCAGCTAGGATTTTAATATAAACTATGTAACATTTGTTCATTAAAGCAACGTGTGTTTAAGTCAATATGATTCTTCCCCGGACCTGTTCATTAATGAATTAATGTCTATCAAATATTCACCAAAATAACCTATATTTTTGGAGAAGAGCATTTAATTTGGAAATATTTCTAAACATTTCTTCTATTTTGCTATTTACCGTGCAGCCCAAAGTCTCCTCAGCAACATTTCCTGTGAGACTACAGGAGTGGAGGGTACCTGTGTGATCAGTAAGATCAATTAGCATATCGAAGCTGAGAAAAACAGATTTAAATTCCAAAGAAGCCTTGTTGCAAGTTGTGCAAGTGTCAGCTGCTTCGTTTACAATATAACCACAGCTGGAACTGAAAAGAAACAAAGACAACAATAAAACGTGATGACCCTAAATGACAAATTCTATCTTTAGCAGAATTATCACTTAAAACTCTAAGTCAGCATGTGAAATACTTACTGGGTGCTCAGTGCTGTGCAGGGTACAAGAGAGACGTAAGAAGCAAAACAATGTGCTTCCTACCCAGTCACTCTGTTTCCAGCAACTGTAATTCATCTTAAACTGGGGATACCCGTTCTCTCACTATCCTCCCTCCTTCCCTCCTCTGCTGAGCTCCTGCCCAGCCCTCCAGGTCCAGCTCAGTCTCATTTCCCTGCAGGGCCTTCCTTTCCTGCACCCTAGGCCACACTCCTCCCCTCTCGGAACAGTAGCAGAGCTTGTGCTTCAGTCCTAACTCCACTGTCACATCAGTTCCTTGTTAATGCTGGTGTGTCCACCCATCTCCCTGACCAGAAGGCCCAAGGGGAGAAATTACATCTTGTGCCTGAAAATAAACCACTCGCCTGATGGTTCTGTACTGGGCTTTCTGTACATACAAAGAAAACTCCACAGGGCTGGTCAGTTTCACATTCACATGCTATTAATACTGCTAATGATACATTCTCCTCCCTTTAAGTGGCTCATGCTAGTCTACATTTCTGAAGCAGGACTTACTTCTGCCATTTTGAACAGAGACATTCAGATTTCTCAAACAGAGGAAATGGACTGAAGCAGTGGTTTCTTGTCTAGCCATAGATCACTTTTTAGCCCACTTTTAGATGCTTTTTCTCAAATATAAATGTTAAAGACGTAGGAAAAAATAAAAGTAATTTTTAATTTTTGAAAAATACTTTTCATAAGATAAACATGTATCTTACACAGCAGCCTCCACTTTAGGTTTTTCAACTTTAATACCACATCATAAAATGTTTTAAAAATCTAGAGGTCAATTTTTTTTTTTTTTTGAGTCAGGGTCTCTGCCACCCAGGCTGAAGCACAGTGGCATGATCACAGCTCAACGCAATCTCTATCTTGGGCCTAGGCAATCCTTCTGCCTCAGCCTCCTGGGTAGCTGGGACCACAGGTGCATACCACCACACCTAGTTAATTTTATTTTTTGTAGACATAAAGTCTATGTTGCCTAGGCTGGTCTTGAACTCCTGAGTTCAAGTGATCCTCCTACCTCAGCCTCCCAATTGCTGGGATTATACACATGAACCACTGCACCTGGCCCAGAAATCAATATCTTGACTGTAGCAATAGATACACAAATGTGATAAAACCATATAGAATGTACACATACTAGCTGGGCTCGGTGGCTCAGCCTGTAATCCCAGCACTTTGGGAGGCTGAGATGAGAGGACTGCCTGAGCCCACGGGTTCAAGACCAGCCCAGGAAACTTGGTGAGACCTCGTCTCTACAACAAATCAAAAGTTAGCCAGGCAGGGAAGCATGCGCCTGTAGTTCCAGCTACTTGAAAGGCTGAGGCAGAAGGATCGCCGGAGCCCAGTAGGTCGACGCTGGGGTAGCCATGAGCGTGCCACTGCACTCCAGCCTGAGTGACAGAATGAGACTCCAACTCAAAAAAAAGAAAACACACATACAAATGGCTGCATGTAAATCCTGGGGGGGAATTAGAATAAGAGCAGAGGAGTGAGTGAGTGTCAATATCCTGGCTGTGATGTAGTACTATAGCTTGCAAATAGTATCACTGAGGAAAATTTGGCAAAGGGCACACGGGATCGCTCTCTATTATTATTACCATTTTTTGGAGTGCAGTAGCACCATTATGGCTCACCACAGCCTTGACCTCCTGGGCTCAGGCTATCCTTCTGCTTTAGACTCTCGAGTAGCTGGGACTACAGGTGCTCACCACCATTCTTGGCTACTTTCTTTGTTTTTAGTAGAGACGAAGTCTCACTATGTTGTCTAGGCTGATCTCAAGCTCCTGGGTTCAAGCAGTCCTCCCACCTCAGCTTCCCAAAGTGCTGGGATTACAGGCATTAGCCACTGCATATAACCTTGTATTATTTCTTCATGTGCATCTAGAATTATCTCAATAAAAATTTCAATTACAAAAATCCATAGAGAGATTTTCATGATAATATTTTTTTATTTTTTTAGTTGGAGTCTCACTCCGTCACCCAGGCTACAGTGCAGTGGTGCACTCCCACTGGGCTCTGGTGATCCTTCTGCCTTAGCATTCCAAGAAGCCGGAACGACAGGCATGCGCTACCATGCCCAGCTAATTTTTTTTATTTATTGTAGAGACAAGGTCTCACCAAGTTGCCTGGGCCAGTCTCGAACCTGTGGATTCTGGCAATCTAGTCACCTCAGCTTCCCAAAGTGCTGGGATTACAGGCTGAGCCACCAAGCCCGGCTCATGATAATATTTTAGATATTGTATGCCAATCATCTTTTGGCTAAGATTATTAAATCTACTGGAGTTTACTTTCTATGCAAGTAAATGCTAACTTTGATCTGCAAGAGGTTAGAAGTCATATGCATCACACACAGAGATGTATCTATATGTCTATATCTACATATTTGTAAATTTAATTTTAATTTTTTGTAGAGGCAATGTCTTGCTATGTTGCCTAAGCTGGTCTTGAACTGCTGGGCTCAAGCAATCCTCCCACCCCAGCCTCTCAAAATACTAGGATTATAGGCGTGAGCTACTGTGCCCAGCCTATATATCTATATTTTAGAAACAGGGTCTTGTTATGCTCAGGCTGGATTTGAACTCCTCAAACTTCTGAACTCAAATGATGCTCCCACCTCAGCTTCCAAAATGTCTGGAACTACAGTTGCATGCCACTGCACTCAGCTTGAAAATAGCTTATTTTAGCTGGGCTTGATGGCTCAGCCTGTAATCCCACGTCTTGGGAGGCTGAGGTGAGTGAATTGCCTGAGCCCGTGGGTTCGAGACCCGCCTGGGCAACTTGGTGAGACCTCATCTCTACAATAAATCAAAAAATTAGCCGGGTGTGGTGATGCACGCCTGTAGTTCTGGCTACTTGGAAGGCTGAGGCGGAAGGATCACCGGAGCCCAGCAGGTCGAGGCTGCGGTGGCTGGGAGCGGCCACCGCACTCCAGTCTGGGCGACAGAGTGAGACTCCAATTCAAAATAAATAAATAAATAAAATAGTTTATTTTAAATGCTGTTACTAGCCAGGCTCGGTGGCTCAGCTTGTAATCCCACGCCTTTGGGAGGCTGAGGTGAGTGGATTGCCTGAGCCTGAGGGTTCGAGACCCGCCTGGGCAGCGAGACCTCATCTCTACAATAAATCAAAAAATCAGCTGGGCGTGGTAGTGCGCGCCTGTAATTCCGGCTACTCGGAAGGATGAGGCGGAAGGATCGCCGGAGTCCAGCAGGTTGAGGCTGCGGTGGCTGGGAGTGGCCACTTCACTCCAGTCTGGGCGACAGAGTGAGACTCCAACTCAAAAAAAAAAAAAAAAAAAAAAATCTTTGAATCTAAAGTCTGCCATGGGCATTTTTCAGTATAGTTTATTTATACATTTTTCTAAACTACATAACCATTGTTAAGTCAAATAACAGCTTTAATATTTGTAGAGCTTAACATTTATTAACTAATTATTTCTTTAAAAAATGAATTTGCTAAAAGTAACTCAGCTCCTTACCATCTCTTTCGAATTACTTTTGTAGTTTCATCGTCAATGTTCAGTGTAGAAATGTAAGCATAAAGAATGCCAAAGAAAGGATCAGATTTTCCTTCATTCTTCAAAGCTTTTACCTTTAATTGTTCAACTGTATAGACATCAACTATTGTATTTACTAAAAATAAAAAGAGTATTACAGTTACAGGCTAAGAACTACAAAGGGTTATTTTCAAATAGAAAGACTACAAATTCCTTTTTTTTTTTGAGTTGGAGTCTCACTGTGTCACCCAGGCTGGAGTGCAGTGGCACGCTTCAGCAATCCTTCTGCCTCAGCCTTCCAAGTAGCTGGAACTACAGACGTGCACCACCACACCAAGTTAATTTTTGATTTATTGTAGAGAGGAGGTCTCACCAAGTTTCCCAGGTTGGTCTCGAACCCACAGGCTCAGACAATCCACTTGCCTCAGCCTCCCAAAGTGATGGAATTACAGGCTGAGCCACTGAGCCTGGCCTGGCTATAAAATTCTAATGAGAACATGTCATAGCTTAAGTAACAGAAAAAAATATTATATTGCCTATATTAAAACTGATTGTATAAATGGACATAAAAGCAAAATTTAACAAAAAAGGAAATAAATGAGAAATTAGTCTTCATTAAAGTGAAGAATTTCTGGTCATCAAAAGATACCACTAAAAAAGTGAAAAGGCAGGCCACAGAATAGGAGATGCTAGCAGTCTTACAAGACAAAGGACTCATCCAGAATACCTAAAGAATTATTTAAAAATCAGTAAGAAAAAGACAGTGATTCAATTTTTTAAATGGAGAAGAGACTCTAAAAGGTACCTCATAAAAAAAGATATTAGGAGCTGGGCGTTGTGGCTCACACCTATAATCCTAGCACTTTGGGAAGCTGAGGTAGGAGGATCACTTGAGCCCAGGCGTTCAAGACCAGCCTAGGCAATATAGTAAGACCTTGTCTCTACAAAAAAAATTAAAAATTAGCTGGGCATGGTGGTGTGTGCCTATAGTCCCAGCTACTCGGGGGACTGAGGCTGGAGCATCACTTAAGCCCAGAAGTTCAAGGCTATTTTGATCAAGCCACTGCACTCCAGCTGGGGTGACAAAGTGAAGTCCCAACTCCAAAAAAAAAAAAACCAAAGAAAGAAAAGAGCCAGGTGTGGTGGCTCATGCCTGTAATCCCAGCACTTTGGGTGGTTCAAGATTGCTTGAGTCCCAGAGTTCGAGACCAGTCTGGACAACACAGCAAGACCTTACCTGTAAAAAAGAAAACCAGGCCAGTGCAGTGGCTCACCCTGTAATCCCAACACTTTGGGAGGCTAAGGCAAGAGAATTGCCTAAGCCCAGGGTTTGAGAACAGCCTGGGCAACTTGGTGAGACCTTGTCTCTACAATAAATCAAAAAATTAGCCAGGCATGGTAGCATGCCCTTGTAGTTCCAGCTACTTGGAAGGCTGAGGTGGAAGGATCACCTGAGCCCAGCAGGTCAAGGCTGCGGTGGCCGTCAGAATGCCACTGTACTCCAGCCTGTGTGACAGAGTGAGACTCCAACTCAAAAAAAAAAAAAAGAAAGAAAATCAAACAAATAGCTGAGTGTGTTGGCATATACCTGCAGTCCCAGCACCTTGGGAGGCAGAGGTGGAAGGGTCACCTGAGCCCAGGTCGAGCCTGCAGTGAGCCGTGACCTTACCACTGCACTCAAGCCTGGACAACAGAGTGAAACCCTGACAAAAGAAGGAAGGAAGGAAGGAAGGAAGGAAGGAAGGAAGGCAGGCAGGCAGGCAGACAAGCGGGTGGGCTTCATTGGTTTCTTTTCTTTTGTTGATGTCTAGTACATATAATTTAATTTTCTTCAATAAGGTATGGCTATGTGTATCTATTTATCTATATTTTATTATTTACTCTTCTATTAGTGTATATGCACAGAAACATTGAAAGGTGTCCACAAAATAACACTATTTCTGGGCCGTTTACTGTATTCTGTATTGTGTTTACTTAAAAATTTTTGAGCATTATCATTTTTAATAAAAATAATAAAAGCTTTAAAGAAAATATGATTGTAGTTTACTCTAAAATATTTAATCAATTTCTGCCTATAAGCTTTTTGTGGGAGTAATGAGCATTTTAAAAGATAAAACAACTCATTTTTGTCTCTGAGTAAATTTAATTATAAAAGTTTCCACAGTAAAATAAAAGAAAGGGACCCTTAAAAACTATTTGTGATTACTTTTATATGACCCATAGACCAGAAAAAAAATTCCTCACATAAATTAAGCTATCCTTGAGTGGCCCAAACACAGTTGTACTACTGTTGTTCTTTGTGTCCGTTTCAGGACTGAGTTTTTGGGCAAGGACTTGAAATACATTCTAGTGAATCTACCTCACTGTTCATCGAATGCCTATTAGCTCCCTTAAGTTTCCTGAAAATGATCCAACATTTTTAAAATGTTTCTAAAGTAACAGTCAGGCTTTATTTTAGGGATAATAAATAGTACAATGTCATGCTTTTCCCTTCTTGTGGGCAAAAAGGTGTAAATTTTGATTCAGTAGTATCTTTTTCTATCAGTCACTGCTATCGATAGAAAACAAATACCCTTCACAAAAGTAGTAGCAAAGTTCATCTTTTACACAGGCTGGCAGAATAAGTTACTGCATGTGAAATTCAACTGGTGCTCTTTAGAGGTGAATTAAGCATAATCTGTGATAAAGAAATATTTCATCACCTAGGACTAGTTACAGAACATGACTTCAGGGAGTGACCTAAGACTTCCCTCTCTTCCTCCTTGCCACCTTTATGTCTAGCATAAGGTACAAATGGCAATAAACAGAATCCTTTTATTTATTTATTTATTTTAAAAAGCCTCACTGGGCATGGTAGCTCACACCTATAATCCCAGCACTTTGGGAAGCAGAGGCAAGAGAACTGCCTGAGCCCAAAGATTTGAGACCAGTCTGGGCAAGTTGGCAAGGTATTGTCTCTGAATAAATCAAAAAATTAGCCAGGTTTGGTGGCTTGTGCCTGTAGTTCCAGCTTCTTGGGAGGTTGAAGTGGAAGAATTGTGAGCCCAGCAGGTCGAGGCTGTGGTAACCGTGATCAACCATGCCACTGCACTCTGCCCTGGGCAACAGAATGAGACTCCCACTGAAGGAAGGGAGGGAGAGAGGAAGACCTCACTCTGGGCTTTGTAGAGTTGGGATCCATGAACATGACATTTTATGCAAAATTGTACATGTAGGTAGAGCACTTATCTGGAGAAAGAATCATTAGCTCTCATCAGATTGGCAAAAGATTATATAAGCCCCTCCCAATTTTATTTTTTTAAAGCAGGATTAATTGAGAGGACAGAAAAGCTTCCATAGTGGGAGGGGACCCAAAGGGGTTGCCTAGCCCCCCAAATTTTAATCTACCTTTTGAAAAGAGGAAACATAGTGGTTACACAATAAGAATATGGTATCTTTTACTATGTCAAATAAAACTTTGCAGGCCTAATTTTGGTTTTTAAAATATCAAATAATATTCACTTACAATTTATGGATTCTTTCAAATAACTGTCAACTTCATTATCCAGAACATTTATTTCTTTATTTTCTCTTATAAAATTCAGTAGGATATTAGCTTCTGGTGTATCTTAAATTGAAAATACATATTAAGTAAAAAGCAAACTGATTATATTTTAAGTCACTGTGAATGATCCAAAATTATTTTTAATAGTAAACAGTGAAGACATAAGAATATAATCAAAGAGAATATTTTGCAGCCATTAGCAATGTGATGCAGAACTCTATTAACATGAAGAAAGGTACACCCATTAGTGAAAAGAACAGTTTACAAAACTAGGTGGGTTAACAGCCTTTTGATTAAAAAATCTACATATGTACTCACATATGCAAAATTATCTGGAAGAATATGTATGAAAAAATAATTCTCTATATAGATAGGGAGATTATAGGTGATCTTTATTTTCTTTTGCTTCTGCTTTTATGTATTTTACGAATTTTATATACATTTCCTTTCTTATCAGGACAAATATTTTTTCAAAAGGTTATTAAAGCCTTGCTCCTCAAATTGGGAAATGAGTATACTCAGTAGTTAGACACTGCATAAGAAGGCAGAAATGTGAGTCTGAAAAAAGGCTCTCCAATGATTCTGATGTCCTTCAACCTGACCCCCACCTCCAGTGTGTGACTGTCTTTAAGCTTTTCAGCCCACATGAACATTCTACAAATTGTTGACAATGCCTGCCCTCTCCTAACACTCTTGGGCAGGTTAAGGCATTTCTTTCACCTTGCTCCCATGACATAAGTCTTTTCACTGCTCCTTTTCAGAAGTAACTGTAAATTTCTCATAGGCAGGAGTTTGACCTTTTCATCTTTGTATTTCTAGTATCCAGTATAGTGACTATCTTTACATCCATTACATCCATGTGGCCATCTACTTGTCCTCCGTTCTTGTTCCAGAAAGGATTTAAGTTATCTCAAATTGGCAAATAAAGGGCATTCGAAAATACTTATAAATTAATTAGTGAATTAATGAATCTTTAGACATTAACAGAATTGCTGCACATCAGATGGGAACAGCTGGTGGAAGTGATGGGAGCAGGAGTTAATGGGAGCAGGGCCACAGAAATCAAACCCATAAGCTTCCTGGGACAGAAGCTGGTAGGGATGGTGGGGTACTGGCCCTGCTGTGCAGGTCCCTACTGACAATAGGGTTATCCTGTCTGGAGAGAGGGCAGAAATTGTGTCCCCCTATCTGCTGAACACTCTCAAGGTAGAGAAGGAAGTCTTGACATCCTGGCTAGGATGAATGCTTAAGCCATTCAGAGATTCTTAATTTCTGTAAGGCAGGCATAGCCCAGGAAGTTAGAAATAAAGCTGACTGAAACAAGCACACAGATTCACAGCCTCTTATGAATCATCTCCTTTAAATGTGTCTCCTTGACAAAGTAAGTCAAGAAATCTAGATCTAGTATACCACATGGTGATTATAGCTAATAACAATGTAGCAATGTATTGTAGTCTTGAAAAGCACCTAGAGCAGATTCTGTGTTCTTACCACAAAAAAAGGCTAAGTAAGCCGGGCTCGGTGGCTCAGCCTGTAATCCCACGCCTTTGGGAGACTGAGGTGAGCGGATTGCCTGGGCCCGCGGGTTCGAGACCCGCCTGGGCAGCGAGACCTCATCTCTACAATAAATCAAAAAATCAGCCGGGCGTGGTAGCGCACGCCTGTAGTTCTGGCTACTTGGAAGGCTGAGGCGAAAGGATTGCCGGAGCCCAGCAGGTCGAGGCTGCGGTGGCCGGGAGCGGCCACTACACTCCAGTCTGGGCAACGGAGTGAGACTCCAACTCAAAAAAAAAAAAAAGGCTAAGTACATAAAGTAGTGAATATATTAATTAGATTGATTTAGCCATTCTGCAATATTTCAAAACAACATGCTGTATACAATAAATATGTTCAATTTTTGTCAATTAAAATTAATCAATAAACAATACACTTTTTAAAAATACGTCTCCTTGAGAAAGGAGATGTTTATTCTAAGATGTTGGCATTGCTCGAAATACTTTGACATTTTCCCTTTGAATCTGTCATCAAAGCCAAGTGTACAACATCCTAAAATATGTCTCATTAATTTAGCTTTGAATTTTTGATACAATTAGTATTGTCAAGCTTGATGATCTTTTTCACCTGATAAATCTGTCTTTGAGAAATTCTTCCAGATCAAATTTACCCTTAAAGAATGATTTTCTATAACTGATGTTACTAAGTATAAGAATACTAAACTATTCATATTAATACATTATTTAAAACAATTAATCATAGTAGCTCTCTTTAAAAAAAGCAGTAACTGAAGAGTGGCACTGCTGTCCCAAGTACTGAGAATAGACTATGGTTTGTCACCATCAACTTCCAACAAAGCAGTTGCAGCGATCCTTTTAGAACTTACCCGTACAGTAAATGCTCTGCTCCTGTCCAGAGTGAAAGCCAGCACCCTCTAGCAGCCTGTGGAGCCTTCTTGACTGGCCCCCACTGTCCCTTCTCAGACCTGGCTCCTACACTTCTCCGCCATGCTCCATCGGCTCCAGCCATCTCAGCCCCTCACTGTTCCTCCCACACACAGGCACAGTTAGCCCAAGAACCTTTGCACTGGCTGCTCCCACTGCCTGGAGCACTTTTTCTTGGCTAATCCTTTTGTCTCTTCACCAATTCTTTGCTCAAATGTCATCCTCCTGTACTGTACAACCTGCCTAATCACCACCCTGTGTAAAATCGCACACACAGTGGCTCCCTGCATCCTCCTGGCTCTGCTCTACATTTTCTCTTCAAATACTTCATAATTCATGGACATATTATCTTTATTATCTGTCCCTCCCTGTGGAACATGAGCTCCATGAGAGTAGAGATGTTTGCCTATTTTGTCAATGGACCCCAAAACAGCACCCAGCACATAGCATATGCTCAGCAAAATGAGAGTTTAGTGAAGAACAAACTAGTGCATGCCCCATCACTTCCCATGGTGCTGCTTTCAAAGAGACAACATTCATGTGGTGAACATGTAAGATTCAGTGTACTTATATTAGTTTACATTATACTCACAGTAATTCTACCTTCTAAGAATTCTGATAATGATTTAATCAAAAATATAAAATTGCTTTATAATTATCAGTTGCGGCTGATGTTCTGTCACAGACCAGCAGAGTGAACTTACGTTTAAAATGATACACTACTAGGCCAGGCATGGTGGCTCACGCCTATAATCCCAGTACTTTGGGAGACCAAGGTGAGAGGATTGGCTGAGCCTGTGAGTTCGAGACAAGCCTGGGCAACTTGGCAAGACCTCATCTCTACAATAAATCAAAAAATCAGCAAGGCGTGGTGACGCGTGCCTGTAGTTCCAGTTACTTGGAAGGCTGAGGTGGAAGGATTATATGAGCCCAGCAGGTCGAGGCTGCAGTGGCCGGGAGCATGCCACTGCCCTCCAGATCGGGTGACAGAGACACCAACTCAAAAAAAACCAAAACAACAACAGAAAGGAAACACTACTATATTTACTGTGTCTTGAGATTGCAAGGATTATTTCATTTCTGGTAATTCTGCACTCTTTGGCTGAAGGAGACAAAAGGCATAAGTTGATAAGGTCCTTATGTCTTAAAAAACACAAGCTTGACAGGGTCCTTGTGTTCCTGGCCTCGCTACAACAGGAGCTTGGCCAGTATCTCCTTCCCTCAATGTTTGCCCCTGAGAATGTTGATTTAGTAGAATTCAGGTGGTGTGATCTCTAGTCTGAGTAGGCTGGATGTAGCCTGCTTCAATAATAACTTTGCTTAGAACTTCAAAGAACACAGATGTTAGTAGTTTTACCTATACTCTCAGAAAACAAAGATGTTAGTGCTATAATAAACTTGCCAAGAAAGTCACAGACATTAACCTTTTTCCCAGCTGATGCTAACATTAAGATATTTCTTGTTTGAGTAGTTTTGCCCTATATAAAAAACATGCTGTGAGAATAAACTTGCTCTCATCTATTGGGGCAAGAGACATCCCAATCCCGCTGTTCTTTGTCTTTCTTTCCTCATTCCCTCCCCCTACCTCAGGCCCTGCTCTACGGAGGCTGGACCTCCGCATTTGGCAGTATTGGGCTGATCATTATGTCTGTACTATAAAGCACCCTGAGAGGGCTTACAGGCAATAACCCTCTGATCTTCCCAGGTATTGCTCCCTTGATTTCATGCTGTAGTAAACTTAACTCCTTTAACAGCCACTACAAGGGACCTTCTGGGCATTAGTTTACAGCTATGAACTAATTATACTATATTATATATTACACAGTGTGTGTATATGTGTGTATACATATATATAATTGCGGTCTTAGAAGCAAAAGCTATTTGAATGTAGTAAAATTCAATTTACTTTTTAAATAGTCAATAATTTAGGTTATCCAAGCAATAACATTCATCTCTCAAAAATTATCTCAATGGATGATGTTTTAAAAATTAGTCTGATTTTTCTTTCCTTTTCTTTTTTTTTTGAGTTGGACTCTCACTCTGTCGCCCAGACTGGAGTGCAGTAGCCGCTCCTGGCCACCGCAGCCTCGACCTGCTGGGCTCCAGCAATCCTTCTGCCTCAGTCTTCCAAGTAGCCGGAATTACAGGCGCGCGCTACCACGCCCGGCTAATTTTTTTACTTTATTGTAGAGATGAGGTCTCGCCTGCCCAGGCGGGTCTCGAACCCACGGGCTCAGGCAATCCACTCACCTCAGCCTCCCAAAGGCGTGGGATTACAGGCTGAGCCACCGAGCCCGGGCTGATTTTTCACATTTCTTTCTCTTTCTTTTTTTTAGAGATAGGGTCTCGCTCTATAGCCCAGGTTGGAATGCAGTGGTGTGGTCATAGCTCACTGTAACCTTGAACTCCTGTGCTCAAGTGATCCTCCCACCTCAGCCTGAGTAGCTGGGACTACTGATGTACTCCACTGTATCAGGCTAATTAAAAACCTCTATAATCCCAGCACTTTGGGAGGCAGAGGCGGAGGACTGCCTGAGCCCAGGGGTTTGAGACCAGCCTGGGCAACTTGGTGAGACCTCATCTCTACAATAAATCAAAAAATTAGCCAGGCATGGTGGTATGCACCTGTAGTTCCAGCTACTTGGAAGGCTGAGGCAAAAGGATCACCTGAACCCAGTAAGTCGAGGCTGTGGTGGCTGTGAGCATGCCACTGCACTCCAGCCTGGGTGACAGAGTGAGATTCCAACTCAAAAAGAAAAAAAAAATTTTTTTTTTTGTAGGGGCAAGGTCTCAAACTCAAACTATTTTGGTCTCAAATGCCTAGCTTCAAGCACACATTTCTTTAGTAAAGATATCAAAGATATAGCTCATTATAAGTTTTTATACGTTGTATTAAGCAATTTTTTACTTTCAATTAAAAAAATCAGGGCAACCTCCTCAGGTCCCCTCCCACTGTGAGAGCTTTTCTGTCCTCTTAATAAATCCTGCTTTCAAAAAAAAAAATCCAAGCTGCATTTTCATTCTTAAATACATACACTGCACAAATATTAGTGTATGTTCACAGTCATTTCCAAAGGGATGAAAAATTTCGAAGGCTGTTTACCTGGATTAGTTGTAATAATAGTTTTTGAGATTACAGTTGCTGTCATGCGGTTCCAAAATTTGTCAAAACTTATTCTTACATCTGATGCAAATATTACTGTTTAGGGGAAAAGTCGTTTTAAAATTAATACATGGAGGGATAGAAAATGACAAATATTAAACATAATCGTTGAATTATGATACCTGTTTCTTGTGGCATCCAGCTTTGTGCAAGTAGAATGGATTCATTATCCCAACTGCATTTGTTTAAAAAAAAGTGACACAAATTGAATTCATCAGAAAAAACTATTAGTGACATTATTTACAACAACAAAAAAAGCCTCAACAGCTGGGGTTAGCAGTCCCCAGGTGGTCATAGCTTCTACTTGTCCATCTCACGGAGCACTTAACATCTACATGACAGATCATTCCTTCAATACACACACTCCTCTCCAGCAACACTCTGCTCCACCAATTTTTTTCTCCCAGTATTTGGCTACTCCAGGCTAGTTAGAACAGAATAACTAAAAGTTAGAGACTTTGAAGTCACACTTTTAGACAATTTGGAGAAGGCCCCCACATGGGTGAATTGGTCAGGGTCCTTGATGGGTTGACGGCACTTTCCAAACTGCTTCCTTTCCTGCTCAGACATCAAGAGCCTCGAAAGTACCTTGCTGTACCCCACAGCACCTCAGGGTGCAGGCCCTGCCCCAACACACCCTATACCCTCCCCTGCTCTGGCTACTACCAAAGGAACACAGAGTAAAGTCTGGCTTGTTCATCATCCATGGGACCTAATAAAACACCATGTGTTATAAAACAGAATTCAAAAATAAATGTGTCACAGTGGAGTCCATCTAAGCAATTCTATGACACCATTAGAGCCTCATCTGAAGACCTCATTTTAAGGTGATGTCCATAACACAACATTCAACAACAAGGTCTATTTTTTAAAATATTGTTCATCTCCGATCATTGCTCTTCTCTTGATATGAAATCCATCATAGTTTTGATTAAATGGAAATGTTCTCTCTCTATAACAGCAGAGATTTCACAATTTGAAACAGACATGGGAGGTTACCATATCATTGCAAAAGAAGACTCTGTTTCATCATAGAGTTTAACTTCACACCTCTGGCCTTTTCTTCGGTCTGAAGTTGTAAAGTATTTTGGCTCTCCAACCTTAGAAATGGAAAGAAATCATTATTCTTCACCTATGGTTGTACAGGTACTTAAATATTTGTTGATGGAAACACTCAAAATATTTACCTTTTAAACATCAAATTAGAAATATTAAGATAGCAAGAACCACTAATATATATTTGATGATTTTAAAGCATCTTCTGCCTCTAAATTTGGTATATGTAGCTGAATTTGTAAGTTAGACACACTTTGAAGAGAAACACAGACAAAGTTGTTTAAAGTTGAAGCTGTGACTCTTTTCAACATGCCAGAACAATGCTCCATGACAGGCCCCATGGTGGCATCTATGTGGACTCCTTTAAGGTAGAACGTGGATTTTCAACATCTGTGTATCATTAGGTTTAGCACAGAGCCTGGCATGGAGTCTGTGTAACTGAATGAACTCAGCCTATTTGGGCCTCAGTGCCCTTGTCCCCTTAGTGAATACTGAATCTAAGATACCTTCTTTGCTGTCTTCACAGGGCTAAGATGGTGAGGACCACATGGGGGATGTATGTGAAAGCTCTGACATACTGTCTGATTCTGTCCATTAAGGGGTAAGAGGATCTGAAAAGTGGAGGTGGACATAAGGGCCCTTCCCTCTGCCCAATGGGCTCTCTTGCAGGAACAGCAAGCATCTCCACTGGCCATACAGCAGCAGCCCAGTGTAGACAGTTGTTGGCTGCTCCCACACTACTGCCACCACTGCATCTGTTGGAGGACTGAGCTCCATGGGAAGGAGCCAGAGAAGATGCAAAGGTGCAGGGAAAACAGGATGTGGAAAGTCAGACAGAGGATGAGAAAAGTCAGCCCTAACACCTGGGGCTGGGGAGAATGCTGTATTAAAAGGAGTTTTAAAATGAAAAGACAGTGGCAGTGAGAAGGAAGAGAGAACAGGTTAAATAGACATATGAAGAAAAGGAAATGTAAGAGGTCTAAAGCAAAGGGGGAGACAAAGGCATGAAAAGAAGTGATGTGACCAAGAAAGAGGGTGCCAGACTCATGGTGGGTGGGAAAAGCTGGTGCAGGTTTTTGCTTATATTCATTATTATATTCACACTGAGTTAGACAAGTGTTACTATATTATAAATATAATAGCATTATACAGAACTGTGGGGAAATTGCATATGACTGAGGACTCAACTAAATAGGCTGAGTAGGATTGAACCTAAATTGCCTAGAAAGTGACTTCTATGTTTTAAGTTTGTCATACAAGGTGTTTATTCCTCCACCCTAAATTATCTTGCATACTCCCTATGTGGCAGGTGCTATGTTAAGCCAGGGTTGGGAGGTGAACACAACAGACATGGGCCTGCCACCAAGAGAGTCAATGTTCTCTTGGTCAGTATTTAATACCAAAAAGCTGTTGTTTACTTACAACATTACTACAATATATGTGTAAGTCTACTTCCTTTTTTTTTTTCACTATCACCCTCCATATATTGAGAAATTATTCTTGCCCCTTTAACTGTCTTCGTGTACTTAATTGTGTGCAACTTTACTGTTGAGGTCCATCTCTAAATCTTTGCCCAGTGGCTCTGGTCTGTCAAACTACAGAGCTCAGAGCTTGCTGTAATAGAGACTGGTACTGATGTACCAGAAGGTAACATATTCCCTGGTCCCTCCATGCAGCAAATTGATTCCTTGACATATTCAACTATGCCCCTTCAAGGAACATCATGGAGATCTTCAAGTCAGTAAGTTTCTCCTTTCCACTGTGTCTTTGTTTAAGCAAGGTTTGGAAAGCTCTATGTAGCTAGCAGATAATTTAGGAGCAGAATGGTATGCTGCATTTAACATTCAAATACAATTTTATTTTGTTACTCATTCACAACAAAATATTATTTTCCCTTTAATGAGACATGTTACTGTTTTCTTAATTCAGTTTACTGCCAAGATACAGAAGTAAAATTACCCCAGCTGATCATGACCCCTACATCCCAAACACAAATTAAGTGACAGAGACTCTCCTGCTGAATTGGACTTGGCTCTGCTGGGGACTTAACTTACCGATCTCACAGCTGCAAGCACATTAATAATCCTCCCATTAAGACTGTGTCCATTTGCAACTATGTCTCCCAATGAATAATAATCACGGGACTCTTTAACGGGTAAATGGATCAAAGACAGTAACTTGGTGTCCACTTCATAACAGGAGCAAACTTTTACTGTTGAGTGATTTTCACTGAGCAATAGTTTACAACTGCTAAATTGCAAAAACACACAAAAAAATTAGTATCAAATGACTTTTTAATAGAAAAATACTTCTATCTTCACAGTTAAGTGACTTTTTTTGGTTAAAATTTAGACTACACTAGGAAATTTATACTTTTTACTCTTAGAAAAACAGTGGCAATATATTTTGCTTTAAATGTACTTTCATTAAGAAAATATATATATTTTTGAAAGTAGGTTTTAATAAGAAGACAGAAAAACTCCCACAGTGGGAGGGAACCTGAAAGAGGTTGCCCAAGAAAATATTTTGAAGATCAATTTGTGCATGAGTTTCAAGACCTTGCCCAAGACTTCTCTATAAAATAGAAAGGCACTCTAAAACTTTAGTGAGTTATACAAGCCCAAGAACTTCTTACTTCTCTCTTATGATCCTGGCTGCTTTGCCAAGTGCCATGGGTCAAGGACTCTTTTACTCACCTCTGCAGCGCCGCATGTGGAATAGATGCCAAATATCCACACAGTGCGCCTGAACCGAGGTGCTCTTCCTCCTGCCCTGCTCCTTCCCAGTCTCCCTGATGCAGCCTCCCCAGCAGCCCTCTAATCCACTCTCCTCTGCCTCTTTTCTGCTACTGTCTGTTATCTACCTCATCACTTCTCTCCCAAATTATTGTCTTGCTTTCCTAAATTTCATTCCCCCGCAATCTGTCCTCCACAGGCCGTCAAATTGATCTTCCTAAATTACAAATATAAAAATATTATTCCCTAGCTCAAAGACCTTCTGTGGCTACCTGTTACCAAGGAATTAACTTGGTATGACAGCAAAACTGAAGTGTTTGCTTTTCCCTCAAGTTTCTCCTTCTGCAAGTCCCCTGAACTGTCTTCTATTTCAGCCAAATAAGACTATTCGGCTACGAAATTTACATTTTTGGATGAAAAACAGTTGAACATCAGCAGCTTTATATGGCTCAACCTAATATTAACTATTGTGGAAAAGGTCAGGAAGTTTCATGTTTGCTCTCTCTGCCAAGAATGTTCCTTCGTTCTTCCCTCCCTCCATTCATGCCATAAAAATTTACTGAGAATCTGTTATGTATTAGACCCTACACTAGGCACAAGGGGATACAGCAGTGAAGAAGACCGACAAGACCTTTGATCTCAAGAAGCTCACCTTTGTGAGGAGACACCAGAACAATTAATCAAATAGTCTCAGACAGTGACTTGGGTTAGATGATAACAGCAAAGGGTAAAGTTCCAGTGACTGACTTAGGGCTACTACAAACAGTAGATAGGGAAGGTGGAAGGAGATGACATTTAAGCTGAGAATCAATGACCAGAAGAAGTCAATATTCGAACAGACTGGAGAGGAATGTTCTATGCAGAGGGAATAAAATATACAAAAGATCCTAGTTCATGTTGGTCAATGGAAGTAAGTTCACTGTGGCTGCAGAAAATAAGATTTGCGAGTCTGGTATAAGACAAGGTCAGAAAAGTGGGTGGAAGGGGTCACAACGGATGCAGCTATGCATGCAGTAGACTGCTGTGCCCACCTAGAACCTTTCACAGGCGGGTCCAGAAGCACAGCTACACCCTCCTTGCAAGAACTGCCAGACATGCATTTGAGGTGATGCCCTGCCCCACTCTGGGGCCGGCGGGTGGGGTGGGGGGCGGGGGGTGGATGGACTACAGGCAATGACTAATACAGGGTACAAAAGCCCAGTCCCCTCCCCTCAAGGTACTGCTCTAAGGGCCACTCCTGCTTCAGAGTGCCCTCCTGGGTTTCAGCTGAGGCTCCAGGTGAGCCCACTTCTTTGCTTAGCCTCTACCCCAACCTATCCTTGCAGGTTTCTCCTGAGAGCTCTGTCTCAACAAATAACCTGCACAAGAACCCTCCTCTCAAGTTCTGCTTCCAGGAAACCTGACCTAAGGTGGTAAAGAACGTGAGTAGAGTGATACCATGACATGAAAAAAGACATATAATTTCCAATATTTATCTTTTCTTCTAATTGTTCAGTTTTAATGTGACTGGAGTCAAATTTTTATAAATCTAAGAATGAGAATCAAAGTACCAAAAACAAAGCTATATTTTCATGTGACTCTGTATCAAGGTAAATTATCTGATAAACAAAAATAAACATTGTGAGAATTAAAATCCTAATTTTCAAATTGAAGCAGGGCAGCTTTAGTAAACTCTCTGCTAATCTGATACAGAATTATTAGTAATGATCATTCTAGCACAAAGATTGTTGATCCTACTTACCTAGGAGTTGCAGGGCTGAACTTTTCTTCTCTTTCTATTTCCTTTTTTTGGATCAGGGGATTTTCAATAATCACTAAAACAGAGAGAAAAATATAATGATATTATAAAATAATAGCAAGATAAATAAAAAACAAATATAGTAGTTCCAGCTGCTTGGAAGGCTGAGATGGAAGGATCGCCTAAGCCCAGCAGGTCAAGGCTGCGGTGACGGTGAGCGTGCTACTGCACTCCAGCCTGGGCAACAAAGAGTGAAACTCCAATTCAAAAAAACAAAAAAAAAGTGTACATAACAATATGTAACCACATGACTTCTCATTTCTGAGCTGGCATCATGCATCCTTCACAGTCACCTTCTCATGTCACTGTAAGAAATGGAATCCTGGGATCCTGAATGGAATCCAAATCAGTTTGACCCCAGATAACATTTCTTGTGCTTTGTGTTTAAATCCCCAAATGTGACCCACATTGATATTACTTTATTGACTTAGTTACAGTCAACATTTGATTTGGTGACAACATGCTTTTCAACAAAGCCAACACTTTAACTGACCTCCACCCACTTCACACTTACCCTTGGAAACAATAGTAGAGAGGTGAAAAGACCAATGCAAAATCTGGGTCACTAATTTGGGTTCTGCCACTTATCAGCTCTGTGAACTCACCATTTTAGGGCTTCTGTTTCTTCATAGCCAACGTTAAGCCTTTCAGTGCTCTGTTTTGGTCATTCTTTATACAACCATCCCAAGATTATCCCTATCTTACATATAAGCAAATTGAAACTCACAGAGGTTAAGTAACTTTCCTGAGGTTATATATCTAGAACGTTGTGGAGCTAAAATTAGAACTGTTCTTATTCAAAAATCTATAATCTTTTCACTCTAACACACTAACATCCTATTTATATTTATAATCATTATTGATTTTAGGCTTTTAAAATCACTTATTCATCCTCATAACCATCAACATATATTTTGATATTGAAATATATCTTTATCTTTTTAAATAACTAATGTTCTAGAATTCATTAGGGATGATGTTTGTAGCTTGTACTGAGCCCTATGAAGTTTGCAGTTTTTTGCCTTCATAGTCCATGTGTTCAATGACCTTATTATTCAATTAGCAAATTATATATAATCCTGAAAGTGAGTAATACAAGGTAATATATGATTAGGTGCTAAATAATTGGTATGAGAATGGGTTACTCGATACCACAGCATCAGAGGAGTGGTTTAGCCACCTGCTTTACTCCTTGCTTTCTTCCATAAAGGAGAGCTAGTATACATGCTTTCTTGTTTTTTGTAAGAGGCTAGAGCTGCCATCTATTAAGTGACTAAGTTCTACACTTTATCCTAGGTATACCATCTCATTTAACACTCACAAGCACCTACTGAGGTATTATTTCATAGCTGAGGCCCAATAAAATTAAGAAAACTTCTCAAAGCCATCATGTAAATAAATGCTGGAGCTGGAATTTGAATCCAAACCTAAATACTTGGTTTGAGTCAGAGTATCACTCCATTGCCCAGGCTTGGAGTGCAGTGGCACACTCACAGCCACCCCAGCGTTGACCTGCTGGGCTCCGGTGATCCTTCCGCCTCAGCCTTCCAAGTAGCCAGAACTACAGGCGTGCACTACCACACCCAGCTAATTTTTTTATTTATTGTAGAGACGAGGTCTCTCCAAGTTGCCTGGGCTGATCTCAAACCCGCGGGCTCAGGCAATCCACCCGTCTCAGCCTCCCAAAGTGCTGGGATTACAAGCTGAGCCACCAAGCCCGGACTAAATCTAAATACTTTCAAAGTCCTTGCTTTTCTACTATACTATGTGTACTGTCAGAGGGACACTGGAGTGAGTAGAAGAAGCAAAAAATTTGGTATTTCAACTAAAAGTAAAGTTCCTTAAAATCTCATTAAAAATTCAAATATCAACTTCTATCAAAATCTATTCAATGGATCTATTATATGTTTATAGAAAGATAACTGATTATAACAATAATAGGGGTAGATGTAAACTGAAAAATGTAATAAACCAAAGATCGTAAAATTATCTAGTAAAAGTATAACTATCATGTTTGAGTTTTTTTTTGTTGTTTTTTTTGTTTTGTTTTGTTTTTTGAGCTGGAGTCTCACTCTGTCGCCCAGACTGGAGTGCAGTGGCCGCTCCCGGCCACCGCAGCCTCGACCCGCTGGGCTCCGGCGATCCTTCCATCTCAGCCTTCCAAGTAGCCGGAATTACAGGCATGCGCTACCACGCCCGGCTGATTTTTTGATTTATTGTAGAGATGAGGTCTCGCCTACCCAAGCGCTGCTCAGACCCGCGGGCTCACGCAATACTCTCACCTCAGCCTCCCAAAGGCACGGGATTACAGGCTGAGCCACCGAGCCCGGCTTAACTATCATGTTTGTATACATCAAGTAACATGCTGAATGCCTTGCATTACACTCTTAGCAGTTGACTTTTTTCTGATAATGTTCTTGAGAATTATGAACTGTACCTTAATTCGTTTTGACTCCCTCAGTACAGTTACCATAAACACACCATAGGGATAACAGAAACAGTTTAAGCATCAGTGCTAACTTACCACACTCACCAACCCTAAAGCTGTCAGAAAGCGACTTGATGTAATCTTCATCGCCCCAAGATGTTACATTTATAAAATGGGTTGGTGAATCTCGAATGGTAAAGCTGAAAAGTGTACCTTTCTGATCCAATATCTAAGGGAAAACCAATGCTTTTATTTTTCAAATGAAGTTTCAAATTTCAGCTTTGAAGAAATGATTTGTTCAATCAAATGACTGGTTGATGATTATGATGATAAAAATACTCAAACACATGGTACAAAATGTTATTTCAAATACACGTTCTATAATAAGTTGTGCTTTTATGTATTTCAAAGTGAAATGGTAACAAGCTACCAACGTAGACAGTTCACCTTAGTGCTGGCCCCTTTGCTTCCTTTCCCCTTTTATCTGTGTATTTGGATGACAGGTAGCCCTGAATTGTCCAGATGTTAGCTTAGCTTCTCTATTTATCTCTTATTGCTATTGTTTTAAACAAAGTCATAATTGATTCAAATAGCTTATTTCAAAACAAATTATGTGCCATTAAATGAATACCACTAGCCAGGCTCGGTGGCTCAGCCTGTAATCCCATGCCTTTGGGAGGCTGAGGTGAGTGGATTGCCTGAGCCCGCAGGTTCGAGACCCGCCTAGGCAGCAAGACCTCATCTCTACAATAAAACAAAAATTCAGCTGGGCATGGTAGCGCACGCCTGTAAATCCGGCTACTCGGAAGGCTGAGGTGGAAGGATCACCGGAGCCCAGCAGGTCGAGGCTGCGGTGGGCGGGAGCGGCCACTGCACTCCAGTCTGGGCAACAGAGTGAGACTCCAACTCAAAATAAAAACAACAACAAAAAAATGAATACCACTAGGGGTCAGCAAGTACATTTTTTTCAAAATGGACATTTCCTTACTGTCTTTGCTAATTAAAAAGTACTGCCTAACACACATGTGCAAATTTGATATATCCTGAACTGTTATTAGTGTCTATCTTTGGGGAGAGGACTAGATGGGAAGAGTGGGAATTTGAAAGTGGAATTTCACTCTTCAACTATACTGATCCTTGCCACTGCTGGAATTTTTAATAAAAACAGTATAATATAGGTGCAATGTTTTTAAAATTCAATAAGCATACCTTCACCAAAAAAAGAATACTACAGATGTCACCATAAAAAGAAGTCAAACAATACAGAAGTTGTTTCTCCTGTCTTCACAATCTGATAGTTTTAAAACTATATTTCACTGTTATAATTTTAGCAAATATTTTAATGATAATTTTTTCTAATTCATGTATTTTCAGTTATGCCTTCCAGAGTTTAGTAAACAGAAAGAAACATATACTTCTTCAAACTATCCAAGTGGTAATTTTGATCTAATTAGTTATGAATTCACACAAATGAGTATGGGTACCATATGACATCTTTGTTATTTACCTCAAGAATAAAAATGAAATACTAGCATGAAGCAAAATAAAAAATAAAGTTACCTATTACTATACCATGAGTCAAAGTAAGACAATCACAGTGATTCAGGTGACTCTAGCAAAATTACTATCTCCTACCAAAACTATTGGCTGGCTGGCTAGAGTACTGATTCACTTAAGCTGTATAGAAACATTTATACTATAACCTTTAATAAAAAGATTTTAAACTAATAGTGGTGAAATGCTAGTTTTGGAACTCTATATTTTATCTTTTATGTCGACTACAAAAGTTTAAAGGTGAGTTTGAGTTGATTTTAAAAATCTAAATTTAGTTTTTGGTCATGTTTCCATAGTCCTAAAACTCTTGCACGGTTAGGCAATTCAATTAAGAACCACTACAGCTAAACTCAACTGTTTTTCCATACATGAAAGATTCATGTTTTTCACTGAACTGTCTGATTATTTGGGCAAATATACAGATATTGCCATCACATTTTTCTTTCCCTCGATCACAACACCTCCCTGCTCAAAAGCCTTCATCAGATCATTTTCTCTTATTCGAAGTTTGTGTGTGTATTTGTCACCTCTTAGACTGGAAGTGATCATTAACATGGAATTCTTACTATGGGCCATGCATGATGCTTACCCTTACACATATGAACTCTTTAATTCTCACATCAGCTTTATTTATCCCCATTTCATAGATGCATGTAGGAGAGATCTAGGATCACTCAGTGACTAGTGAGCCTAGTCCGTCTAGCTCCAAGGCCCCTCTCACAGACACTGTACTACCTGAAAGTGATATGAGACACGATTTCTTTTTTATCTTTTACACTCCACAGGGTCTTACACAGTGGAGGTACTAAATAAACATGTGTTGGGACAAGTTAATGAGCTGACCAATTTAACTAGCTATTTTGGCATTGTATACCCCAAACCTTTAAAATTGTGTTTGAGAAACATCAAATAAAAACATTAAAAATGATTTCAATGTCCTCACACATATGGCCTTGAATTAACTACAATAAAGACCATGTCCATTGCTCTTAAGGGGTTAAATAGACATGGAAAATTTAATCACTTAAATACACTTTGTTGTAGTCATAAGCCACAGTTGATGAAAAATAAAGCAAACAGTTAAATAGAACTCAGCTTTTTCTGTCTGGAAAGCCTTTGACATCTGTTTTCCCAATAACTATACCGATTATTTTCTGAAAAACAAAAAAGTTATAGAAGACCAATATTAAATACAGATGTACACGGCAAATTTAATTTCATGGACTTGTTATATTGTACTGGCTCTAACAAACATTTTTTACTAGGAACCATTTAAATGTATTCATTCCAGACAAACATCTAAAAGAACTTCATACATGTTCAATTCCACAAGGAATAGTACCAAGTAATCACACAGTTAACTGCTATTACAAATATAATCGTTTAATACTTAGTATGTTTCTACTTTATTTTCAATCACTAGATAGAGCACAGTAACTGCCCTATGCGATTAATCCTTACTGAATTTATCCAAAGCACATGTATAATGCAATGTAATTGGCCATGGCCTTCAAAGCTTTCCTTTATATAGGGTTTTCTAACAGTCCACATAAAATTGCTTAGCTTCTTAATCCAAAAATGCTAGATAGTAATATAAATTAGACTGTAACAAAACATATATTTCTGCTTAATAAATCTAAATCCTAAAGTCCTAAAGACCTTAGAGATATTAGCATCTTCTTCAAATGATTAATGCTCTCTTTACTGACTACTAAACAAAAATTAAATATTAATAACATGCTTTAAGAAATAAATATAACTATCTTTTTCTGCAAGGAAAAACCTAAACTTGTATTGCTAATTCATCAATTGGCTTCAACCTTGCAATAATTTAAAGTTAAGCTATTACATTTTAGCTGAGCTACTAGCTACTATTATTGCATGTAGACACATTGCTATTATTTCTTGAACTCATTATACATGTAGACCTCACTAAATTTTGGGTTGGAAAAACACAACTAATGGAAATGTCGAGTAAAACTTTGTCTCTGAAGAAGGGATTATCAAACAGTTTACTTGTAAGAAAAAAATGTTACAACAATAATTATTTTTAACATTAATAAACTTGAATTGCAAATTATTAATATTACATGTAAATTTATCCCATCATAAGAAATCTGATTTGCAAAAGCCAAATGTAAATGTCAGACTGCTCAGGGCAGGGAAGGTAAAGGAATATGGTAGTTACTTTACAATAAGTTCTTCACCTGATAAGATGATTCCACCCAGATTTATTTTAAATAGGTAACAGTCTTAGTATATTCAAAATCATTTAATTCCCCCACAACATCTCCCAACAAGTCAATTTTCACATAATCATTTCAGAAACACACATATTATATACCTTATGCCATAAAAGCAGCATAATGACAAGTATTTAGACTATAACTTGGAGAATTACTACTGCTAAACAAAAACAGTTTAATTTTACAATGCTAAATTTGAGCATTTAATGTTTTGCTCTATTAAATATTTGAAAATAAAAATATTTTGAACATTCACTAGTCATATCTATAATCATATCTCCTACTCTATAGACAAAAAGGTTAATTTTCATTTAACTAGTATAAATACAAAGTTTAGGTGTACTTAATATCTAACAATTATACCAATGCAATGAGTGTCTATATACTGGTCAACTATACAAGCATGTGTCAAACAATGTTGATATAATGTTACCACATAAGGTTTTATTGGAGAACAATCAAATCACCATATCATTGAAACCTACCAGATTAGCCATATTTGGATACAGGTCCGAAAGTGCAGTGAAGGTCCTTGATGCAAAGGAGTTTGCCATTTTTTAATCTGTATTTTAAAAAATATAATTTAGATGTATAAATTGAATAACTGAAATAAACCATGAAAAATTCTAAGATTTTAAAAAATTAACATAGTGAGATTTGTCTCTACAGAAAAAAAAAAATTAGCCAGGCATGGTGGCACACCCTTGTCCTGGCTATTGGGGAGGCTGAGGTGGAAAGATTGCTTGTGCCCAGGAGTTTGAGGTTGCAGTGAGCTGTGATCATACCACTGCACTCCAGCCTGGATGATCCTGTCTCTAAAAAATATTTATTCATTGATTTATTAGCATCAACCTTACCTTTAAAAAAAATACAGCAGAATCTAATGTAAACACCACATATTCTATATTTGGTTACACTGTGGGGGGAAAGGTAGCAATTTTAAACACACCTCTAGATGGTAAGTTCCAGGAGGGCAGAGATGGCATCTTACATACTTTTATGTGTGTCCTGCAATACTACCTTGCACTAGAAAACAATCAATAAATATCAAGTGAATGAAATGGTGACTTGTTCTTCAATAGCACCACTATAAAAGGTTTTATTGCAGTAAAAACTGTACACCACCCACAGGTTCAAGACAAGCCTGGGAAACTTGGTGAGACCTCATCTCTACAATAAATCAAAATATTAGCCAGGCAAGTGGCACACACCTGTAGTTGTGGCTACTTGGAAGGGTGAAGTGGAAGGATCACCTGAACCCAGGAGGTCAACACTGGGGCAGCTATGAGTATGCCACCGAACTCCAGCCTGGGTAACAGAGTGAGACTCCAACTCAAAAAAAAAAAGAAAATGGTACTCCACATTAAACTAATAAATTGACTTGACTTCACTTTTAACTCTATGAGTGCCTTCACCACAAGATTCAATTCAAGGAGTTTCAGGAAGTCAATGGAGTTAGTCAAATATAATTTTGGCTGGGCTCAGTAGCTCAGCCTATAATCCTGCGCTTCAGGAGGCTGAGGTGAGTGGATTGCCTGAGCCCGCGGGTTTGAGACCTGCCTGGGCAACTTGGTGAGACCTCATCTCTACAATAAATCAAAAAATCAGCTGGGCATGGTAGCGCACGCCTGTAGTTCCAGCTGCTTGGGAGGCTGAGGCAGAAGGATCACCAGAGCTCAGCAGGTAGAGGCTGCGGTGACCGGAAGCGGCCACTGCACTCCAGTCTGGGCGACAGAGTGAGACTCCAACTCAAAAAAAAAACCAAATATAATTTTGAATCCCAGTTCCACTAGTTTGTAGTTACATGCTTTGACATTACTAAACTTTAATTTCCTCATCCTTAAAATGTGGATAATATCAACTTTGCAGTGAAAATTAGAAACTACATATACAAGCTAGGTGCAGTGGCTCACACCTGTAATCCTAGCACTTAGGAAGGCCAAGGTGAGAGGTTTGCTTGAGACCAGGAGTTTGAGACCAGCCTGGACAACATAGCAAGACACTGTCTCTATTTAAAAAATTTTAAAAATTAGCTGGACATGGTGACACATGCCTGTAGCCCCAGCTACTCGGGAGGCTGAAGCAGAAGGAGGAGAAGCCCAGGAGGTTGAGGCTGTGGTGAGCCATGATCGTGCCACTACACTCCAGCCTGGGTGACAGAGTGAGACTGACTAAAAAATAACAATAATAATAATGTGTACAAGATCCTGGGTGTTCATAGGCTCACGGTAAATAATAGCATTGCTTTATAATATTATCCAATGTAGTCATTTTAGCATTCAAGGCCATTCAGTGCCAGAAGAAACAATTTGAAATTAAGCAGAGTCATTGTCTCACTCATTCTTTGGCCTGTTCTGATCTGCCTTACAGTTGGAACGGCAATCTCTGAAATACCTACCAAACTGTGACAGATTCATTCATCCATCCTGCCAATCAATAAATATTTACTGACAGCCTATCAAGTGCCAGATATTTTTTAGGTTGGAGAGGATGAATTATGCAGTAGTTGGATTTTGTGTAAAAACACAATCCACCTACATATTAAGTGAATTTTCCAAATTTTTACCCCTTAGTATCTGTGGTCAGTTTGATGTACATGGTATCCTGTCATCTCTCAGAAGTCCCTTCCATGTCTGCTATCACTCAAAGTACATAGTAATAGACTTTAGCGTCTTTCCATAAAAAGTATGACTTGCTTCTCTGCCCAGCCATTTTGACAAATACAAAATTAACATGAACTACGGAGCTCAACATGGGAATTCAGAGATTTATCTCTGAATTCAGAGAGTCATGTTGATAATTCAGAGATGTATCAACAATTACTCTCCCTTTCACTTTACAAATATGCTTTATTTTATTTATTTATTTATTTGAGTTGGAGTCTCACTCTGTCACCCAGACTGGAGTGTAGTGGCCACTCCCGGCCACTGCAGTCTCGACCTGCTGGACTCCGGTGATCCTTCCACCTCAGCCTTCCAAGTAGCTGGAACTACAGGCATGCACTACCACGCCCAGCTAATTTTTCATTTATTGTAGAGATGAGGTCTCACCAAGTTTCCTAGGCGGGTTTTGAACCCTTGAGCTCAGGCAATCCACTCACCTCAGCCTTCCAAAGTGCTGGGATTATAGGCTGAGCCACCAAGCCCAGCCACAAATATGTTTTAAATGTCTTCTTTTCGGTCAGGCACAGTGTAATCCCAGCAATTTGGGAGACAGAGGCGAGAGAATTGCCTGTGCCCAGGGGCTCAAGACCAGTCTGGGGAATTTGACGAGACCTCTTCTCCACAATAAATCAAAAAATTAGCCAGGCATGGTGGTACGTGCCTGTTGTTCCAGGCTGAGGAGGAAGGACCATCTGAGCCCAGCAGGTCTAGGCTACAGTGGCTGTGAGTGTGCTACTGTACTACAACAGAGTGAGACTCCAACTCAAAAAAAAAAAGTCTCCTTTTCTCCATCTCCAGTGTCATCTCCCCAGCCCGTCTCAGTCATTCCTCACCTAAAGTACTGTGATAACCTGGTGTGGACCTAGTTTACACATTCAACACATGTGGATTGAATGTCTGATATGTGTCAGGCCCTCAATCAAGATAAGAGGTAGAACTGGGAGCTGGTTGCCAGAATTCTTCCCTGTACCTACCCAGGAGCCTCAGAGAGGAGCAATAAAAATAGAGGACCAGATGTGGGACCAGCCTCAAGGCCACTGATCCAGATCCTGGGCAAGGGTGGAAGAAAAGAGCCAGTGTAAAGTCCCAGTGGCGATAATGTCACAGGTACCTGCCATAAGGCTGGCCCTACACTACAGACCATAGGTACACCGTAACCACCTCTGACAGCTCCCCAACCCAGGCCTCCCAGATTCCCTTCATGGAACTCTCAGTCCTCCTCCCACTTTTGAAGGGAATCGTACTGTCTGGCAAAAAGCCCAGCCTGACCTGGCCAGTTTCCCCAAGGCCCTTTCTGGTCCTTATTTAAGATTCCTAAAGGCATGTCTGGGCCCAAGCCCCTCGTGCTCCCCCTTGCTGGCACTTTCCTCCCAAGAAGAAAGCTGCATCACTTGGCTCTTTCTTCTGCTGGGGCTCTGGCACAAAAGAAGGGGACTCTGTGGACTCAGATGAGGAAGACACACTGCTGGCTGCTCGTTCTGAGGTGTCTGGCCCACAGGTCAGCTAAGGGAGATATCAGATCTTTCAGGCAAACCCCACTACCTTTCTGACTTTGAGGCCAGCCATGGTCTCAAATTCTAAGCATGCAGAATGAGTCAGTTTGAGACCTGGGCCTTGGATGGAGGAACTGTGAGCAGAGGGCTGGGGAGGGCATCCAAGGTAACCTTTGCTGACTTTATAGTACTGCCCAGAGCCAAGTACAGGTGTGTGTGTTGTGTCTGCGTGTGGGCTGCCTGTCCTCTTCAGTGTAATCATTATCCACCAAGGCTTGAGGTCCGCGTGGTAGCTGCTGTGCTGGTGCCCTGGAGCAACTACACTTTCCCAGCAGAAAGTCACATTCCCATCCACTCTGTTCTGACACTTCCTCACCTTTACTTACCAGGCTCCAGAGTCTTTGGCAAGCCTGACAAGTCTCCCTCCTCATTCTCTCTTGAATCTGATGCAGCTCCCATGTCCCTGACCTCTTCACCACTCTCTGCCTGCACTCTTACCCCTCCATCATCTCTTTGCCACATTACAGAACCATCTTCTAAAACTTCTATCAAGTCATGCCACTTCCTTGCTTAAAACCCTTGCCACTGCACCCTAACTCAGACCCAGGCCCCTTGCCACAGCCTGCAAGGTCGCTGATCTGGCCTCTGTCACCTCCCACTCACATCTCACCTCTCCAGTCCTGGCTGTGCTCATTTCCTCGGCCTGGGCCTGGGACCTTCAGGGACACAATTCCCCTGTCCAAGGGCATCCCCAGGCTACCCTCTGGTCTCCCTGGACAGCCTCCCCTGCACTCCAAGCATCCCTGTCTCGAAATTCTCCTCTCAGCACTTCTAATTCCCGCATTAGAAGGTAGACCCTAAGGACAAAGCCATGCCTGTCTCACTGCATCCCACGGTGACTAGGTAGTTCAGCGCCAAACACACAGCAGCTGCTGAGTGAATATTTGTTGACTAAGTTAATGAATTAGTCCTAAAAGCAATCTAATTTGTAACTTGAAGATAATATTGCTACAATTAACTTTTTAGATAAGTAGAATTTTAGTCAGCTAATTTACATTGATATCAGGCTTTTAAGTTATAGAAACAAGTGTGGTTTACACCTTTCTGGTCTAGATAAATGAAACTTCCAGAAAGCTCAGTGATGGGTTTTTTTTTTTAGGGGGGGGGTCAGAGTCTCACTCTGTTGCCCAGGCTGGAATGCAGTGGCAGCACACAGCCACCGCAGCCTCGATCTGCTGGGCTCAGGTGATCCCTCCGCCTCAGCCTTAAGTAGCTGGAACTACAGGTGCGCGCTATCACAATCAGCTTATTTTTTTATTTATTGTAGAGACAAGGTCTTACCACGTTGCCCAGTCTGGTCTCAAACCCCCGAGCTCATGCAATCCTCTCGCCTCAGCC